GTTTATTGAAGAGACTGTCTTTGCTCCATTGTATGCTCTCGCCTCCTTTGTCAGGTATTAATTGAGTGTAATGGCTTGGGTCATTTCTGAGGAATCTGTTCTGCTCCATTGATGTGTGTGCCTGTTCTTGTGCAGTACCAGGCTGTTTTGATTACCATGGCTTTGTAGCATAGCTTGATACCTGGTATTGTGATCCCTCCAACTTTGTTCTTTCTTAAGATTATTATGGCTATTTGAGGTTCTTTTTAGTTCCGTACACGTTTTTGGAATATTTGTTCTAGACAAGCGAAATTTATTTATTTTTTTTAGTTTCTCTTTCTGAGAGTTCATTAATGGTGTGTAAAAATGCCATCAGTTTCTGGATGCTGATTTTGTATCCCGCTACACTGCTGAATGTGTTTATTTAATCTAGTAGTTTTTGGTGGAGTCTTCAGTGTTTCCTACGTACTCTAACATGTCATCTGTGAATAGTGACAGTTTTCCTTCCTCACTTCCAATTTGGATGCCTTTTATTTCTTCTTCTTGTCTGATCACTGTGGCCAGGACTTCCAGCACTATGTTGAATACGAGTGGTGGAAGTCGACAATCCTGTCTTGTTTCTGTTCTTAAGGGAAACACTTTTAGTTTTTGCCATTGAGTATGATGTTGGTGTGGGTTTGTCATACAGGGCTTTAATTGTTCGTGTGACATCAAGTAGACTGCATCTAACTTTGCAATCCCCTGTCAATAATTGCAAAGCTTTGGCTTTACCATCTTGCTGACCCCTCACTAAAAGGTTAAAAAAGTGACAGGTGTGCCCTAGCTAGTTTGGCTCACTGGATTGAACTTTGGCCAGCAGACCAAAAGGTCTGGGTTTGATTTCGGTCAAGGGCATGTATCTTGGTTGCAGGCTCCTCCCCGGCCCTGGTGAGGGCTCGTGCTGGAGGCAACCAATCGATGTGTTTCTCTCATATGGTTTCTCTCTGTCTTTCCGTCTCTTCTCTCTCTCAAAACCAATAGAAACTTATCCTGGGGCGAGGATTAACAAAAAATGACAGGTATTCTTCCCCATTTTGAGGTGTTGTGTGTTTTTGCCTGAATTCTGTTTTTAACTTTTGAAGTTAGACATTAAAAATGATAAGCTGTGTGTCTCTCCCACTCTGTGTCCAAGTACTTAATCTTATTTAATAGAAATGCCACTCAGGGTGGCCTCGCTGACTGAATTAAGAAACCACGAGTGATGCAAGATGGAAAAGAGTCCCATTTAAGGCAGGCTGACTTCCTCTCCCCATGTTTCTAGCCCCACCAGGGCCGGGGCCAGGGCTGGAGAGGAGCCTGCAACCAGGATACATGCCCTTGACTGAAATCAAACCCAGAACCTTTTGGTCTGCTGGCCGAAAAGGTTGGCGACCGCTGCCCTAGATCATCATCTGCCTTCTATTATTGCCTCCTGCCGTTGAGTATCAGCCCTGTGTCCTTGCAGACAAGACAGATCACTAAGGAGGAGGAGGAAGAGGATGACGACAACAGTAGTACCCACAATAGCTAACTGATGTCACACCTTTACCGTGTCTGTCCAAGAAGCCAGCGCTTTACCCACATCATCGCACTTAGTTACAGGAGGAGCGGAGGGGCTGTTACACACAAAGCCAAGGCTGCTGTGGGTTCTCTAAAGACACCTTCATGGTGGTCCTGTGAGGCAGCAGGTGCTCCATCACTGACGCGAAATCTCATCACTCTTCCCTCAGGGCTGCATGGACCCTGGGGTTGACTTTGCCATTTTTTGACGCAGGAATGTCAGAGGCAGAGCCAACAGAGTGAGGCTCCAGTTTGGGCCCTACTGTATCTAAAATGGACACAATATTATTCATCCCCTCCCTGCTGGGGTCTCTGTTAGAATTAAGTAAAGAGCCTCTGGGGGGTCATACGTGAACCCTAAAAGCACGACACAGATGGTGGTGGGTTAACCCCCATCCTGCTCCCGTTACAACTTCCCACTTCTTCTCGGGTCCACGGAGGAAATCAGAGCATGCACATGCGCATAGGTTTTCCGTAGTTTGCATGGTTCTCAGGGTGTCTGGAGCTCCTGCAATCGGAGTTCTGGAGCCATCAGCTAGAAACGGGACTGGGAACTGCCCCAAGGCCTTCCTTCTGCCTCCTCTCTGTCATAACTGACGATGTGTCTGCTGCGCTTCTGCCCGGTGCGAGGGCAGCACAGTGAACGGTGCGCACGTGGCCCTGCCCCCTGAGCCTCTCCAGTCACTCAGCAGGCACCCAGATCATGTCAGGAGTGGTGAGCGCTCTGAGAAAAACATCACAAGATAACATGTGGGATGTGGTTTGAGAAGGAAGAGGGGGAGGTCAGGGGAGGTCTTTCTAAGGCCTGACAGGTGAGAAGGAGCCGGTCGTGGGAGGATAACGAGTAGGGTGCTCAGCCAGCACATGCAAAGGGCCTGCGGTTGGTCTGAGCCTGGGAATGTGAGGGCTAAAGGAGCCTGGGGCTGGGAGGACTCAGCCGGCAGGCACGGAGACCACGTGAGACCGCTTGGCCTTGCCAAGGAGTTTATTTTTATTCTCTAAGCCTCTGCTGTCCATGCAAGAGCCAATGGTCATAAAAATTAAAATGGAAACACAATTAAAAGTTTGCTTTCTCAGTAGAAACTGGAAACTGTGTGGACTCTCGGCAGGAATGTAAAACGATACAGCCACTGTGGAAAACAGCGCGGTGGTTCCTCAGGAATTTAGAAATTAAATCACCGTAGGATCCAACGATTCTAGTTTGGGGTATAAACGTAAAAGCATTGGAAGTGATCTCGAAGAGGTAGCTGTCCACCCGTGTTCACAGTGCGTTAGTGACAATGCTGAAAGGGGGAAGCCCCAGAAACGTGGTTTCTCGTGGCATCAGCCACGGCCGGCGGCCACAGGGAGAAGTGGCTGCCGTGTTAGCAGACAGCACACAGATTGAGACCATTTCTGTCGTCACGGGATGTTCCATCAGACGGTGCCACTCGTGTGTAGGGGGGGTTCAGAGGTCATCTCCACTCCCTGGCTCCGGGCCCTTCAGGCCGTGCTGCAGCGGTAACATCCGGAGGGTTCGGAGTGAAGGACACTCTTCGGGGTCCACGCCCCGTCTTGAGACGTGCAGGGAGTGAGTGGAGCAAGCGCCTCTGAGCACGGGCTCTGCCGCCCAGGGCTGTCCGGCCACAGGGAGGCCCTTAGACTGTGACAGTCTGGGAAGGGAGGCTGGCCATCAGGGTCCAGGCCCGTGCGGGGGCTGCAGTCCAGGGGAAATTGGGAAGCAGTGAGAGAGACACTGGGAGGAAAGGGTGTGTAACGGACGAGCTGCTGGAGGAAGCCAGGCCAGCCCAGCCTGCTGTGCACACTCTCAGTTGCATTGAACCAGAACATGTCTCCGGCCACGAAATCCATGCACAGCGTCTGCCCTGTCCCCAGGGCCTTCTCTCTCCTGCCATCCGTCCCCTCCTTCAGGCCGCAGCAGGAATGTTACCTCTCGTCACCTCTGGCACAGTGCGGGCGCCTATCCAGTGACTGCTGGTGTGGCTGAGTAACTGGGATGCCTTCTCCATGAGACAGTGTGCTCCCTAAGGCAGGGCTGTGGCCTGCAGTGGCTGCGGTGTCAGGATTAATGTGCGCCCACGTCTGTGAAGCAGTGTGTGACTGTTGTGCAGTTTGCTTAATCTTCTTGTGCCTCGGTTTCCCTCTTTGCAAAATGGAGACAACCATATATCTGTGTATACCAGTTCTGCAATTGTGTGCTAGGCCTGGTTTGCTGGAGCCAGCTGTTTAATTTTCAGGAAATTTGGGAACTGGTTGTTAAGCTATTAATTACAATTTAAATAATGTAAACTTACAATTAAACAAATTAGGTTAAATCAAAGGTAACAGATACTCAGAATCCACTGCATCCTGATGATCTCATTACAGTCTTCTATAAGTAGTCCCTTCTTATCCACCGTTTCTCTTTCCATATTTCCAGTGATCTGTGGTCTGAAAATATTATGGAAAATTCCAGAAGAAGCAGTTCATAAGTTTTAAATTGTGCACTGTTCTGGGTAGTAGGAAATCTCTCTCTGTCGTCCCACTCAGACCCTCCCGAGATGTGACGCCAGTGTCTCCACCTTTTATATGCTCCCTGCCCCTTGGTCATTTAGTAGCGGCTCAATGATCAGATTGACTGTCGTGGTATCGCTGTGCTTGTGCGCAAGTGACCTTAGTTTACTTTATAATGCCACATTCACATAGCTTTGATTACAGCCTATTGTTATAATTACTCTATTTTATTAGTTGCGAGAGGCCTGGTGCATGAAATTCGTGCATGGGTAGGGTCCCTAGGTCTGGACGGTGAGCAGGGCTGATCGGGCCTTCCTTCATTCTGTGCTGCCCCCTGGTGGTCAGCACACATCATGACTCCCGGTCTCCGGTCGAACTCCCAAGGAGACACTTTGCATATTAGCCTTTTATATATATAGATTGTTTTTAGTCTCTTATTGTGCCCACTTTGTAAGTTAGACTTTATCCTAGGTGTGTGTGTACAGGAAGAAACGTCCTGTCTGGAGAGTTGGGTGCTATTCAAGACCTAGGCATCCGCTGGCGGTCTTGGAATGCATCCCCCATAGATAGGGAGGGCGGCTGTGTTTATGCTTTGGAGGTTATTTGCTCCTGTTCAGTCTGTGTGGTGGAAGTACTGTTTGTGCTGCAGTACCATGGATCTCCCAGCTCCGTGGGCAGGAACTTTAGGTGGGTGGTACTTACACCGGGGAAATGGGCAGATCCTCTCTTACCTCTCCCCTCTCTGAAGTGGCTGTTAAACGTGTAGGGCACACCATGGTCTGGGGGCTTACATGAGTTTGTGCTTTTGTTACCGTTTTGTGCCTGGGGCCCAGCGTGTGCTGTAGAGGTGAGGCTGATGTTGTTTGGTTTCGCTTGCTCTCCCTAACCCGGCCCCGCTGTTGGTGCCGACGGAACCGGGCCTCCACTGACGGCTGTTTCTCTCCCCCCAGTCTGCCCGGCCAGCTGTAAGTCGCACGGCTGCACCGCAGAGGGCCTCTGCTGCCACGGCGAGTGCCTGGGCGGCTGCTCGGAGCCCGACGACCCCACCCGGTGCGCGGCCTGCCGCCACTTCTACCTGGACGGCCGGTGCGTGGAGACCTGCCCGCCCCCGTACTACCACTTCCAGGACTGGCGCTGCGTGAACTTCAGCTTCTGCCTGGGCCTGCACAACAAGTGCAGGAACTCGCGGCGGCAGGGCTGCCACCAGTACGTCATTCACAACGGCAAGTGCATCCCCGAGTGCCCCTCCGGGTTCACCATGAATTCCAGCAAGTGAGTCCCGGGCGCGGGTTCTCGGCCGGAGAGGAGGGAACGTGGGGGCGGGGGAGGGGGTGTCACCTGTTAAAATCTAATGAACAGAACAAACTAACAGGCCCTGCCCGGTTTGGCTCAGTGGCCAGCGCGTCGGCCTGAGGACTGAAGGGTCCCAGGATCAATCCTCCCGGTCAAGGGCAAGTACCTTGGCTGCGGGCACGTCCCCAGTAGGGGGTGTGCAAGGGGCAGCTGACCGATGTTTCTCACTCTCTATCCCTCCCCCTTCCTCTCTGTAAAAAAATAATAAAATATATTTTAGAAATAAATAAATAAACAAACAAACAAACTAACTAACGAAAAATGGGACTGAAGCATGGATACATGGAACAGACTGGCAGGTGCCTGCGGGTGACGGTTGAGGAAGGGGAAGGAGTTAGTTAGAGAACATATGTGCACACCCCCTGGACACGGACAGTAGTGTGGGGAAGGCCAGGGGAGGGGAAGGCGGGAAGGAAGTGGGTGAAGGTTGGCAAAGGGGGCAGAAAACGGGGACTCTTGGAATAATGTCATTAAAAATGTTTAATAGCCGAGATCGGTTTGGCTCAGTGGATAGAGCGTCGGCTTGGGGACTGAAAGGTCCCGGGTTCGATTCCGGTCAAGGGCATGTACCTTGGTTGCGGGCACATCCCCGTTGGGGGGGGTGCAAGAGGCAGCAGATCGATGACTCTCTCTCATCAATGTTTCTAGCTCTCTATCTCTCTTCCTTTCTCTCTGTACAAAATCAATAAAATATATTTTAAAAATGTTTAATAAACAAAACAAAAAAGCCTGTGTGAAAAGCCAGAACCCATTGCTGTGGGTAAGGGCGCTGTGGTGACCAGAGGTGTGCTGGGGGCCTCGGACCCACGCCGCCTCCTGTTCTGGTCCTGGCCTTTGCAGCCGAGACGACAAGCGGTCTCTGTGAGGGGCCAGAGTCAGTGCTCGGGCCTCTTGGACGCGGTGGCTGAAGCCGCTGTGCTCAGCTTCGGGAGCGGAAAGCACGCGGACAGCGGCCCTTGGCTTCCCTGCGGGCCGTCCCCGCTGCCGTGCCTTCCGGCTCGTACGCCCAATTGGAGCTCGGGTTTCTGTGTTTTTCTGGTCGGGAGCTGGGCGGTGCGTTGAGCTCAGCCCAGAGACGAGAAGGAGGTGGCGTGATGCTCAGTGATTCGCAGGCTCCCTCGTGCTGGGAAGCTGCTTTCTCTCGGTTGTGAGCCGGGTCCTGTGCACGCACACTACAGACTCTTGGTTCATCCTGTTAGCTTCTCAGAGGAGCTGTTTTGGTTTCTTGGGGCTGTAACCAAGCTTAAGAAACCTGGTTGCTGGATTTTGTGTTGCGAGTTTGAAAAAAAAAAAACCACAAAGCAAACAAACAAACAAAACAGATCAGAAGCAGGCGTCACCGAGGGGCAGTGAGCTGACCTGCTCACCTGCAAAAGCTCCCTGTCCAGGTTCGAGAATTAGCCAGTGTTCTGGCGGGAAGTTTTATTTCCCGAAAAAACAGTCTTATTTCAGTTCTCAGGAGGCTCTCTTCAGACGTTTGTGAAACCTGCAAGTACATGTCTTCTTTTATTAGTTTTGTTTTGTGTTTGTTTGTTTGTTTTACAAAAACCTGTTATGTTGCTTTGTTGACCAAAAATAGGCAACTGTAAGTAACTTTGCATGCCAGAAAGACCCTTTTCTTTCTCTTTTTTGGGCCAGTTCATTAGTAAGGTTGGGGAAATGACCATATTCCTTTTTGTTTGTTTTTTAAATTAATCTTCTAGGAAGATGATTATTGAAAAGACATTGGCTTTAAGTAGAAGGCATTCTGTCTGAGGAGCCCAGGATGTTCCTGAATGTTCTCCTGGTGGCGTGGTGGCCCCTGGAGCCCACGCTGTGTCCCCCGATGCTCGTGACCGTGTGAGAGAGGGCAAAGCGGGCGGTGCTGATGACGACTCGTTATGGCACAATCTGCTTCGAAGTTTTGGGGAAAAAAAGTATTTTTTTTCTTCTGAAGCTTTTAAAAATAAAAGATGTTCTTATGAAATACGTTAGTCCTACCACATTTTTCTAATGTGGTTTGATATCAAATAGGACCAGCTATGCTTTCTTCCATTCTGGCGGCTTATCCAGAAATGCTTCTTGGTGTTTCAGAGCAGAGGTCTGGGGGCACAGGCAGAGCCATGTGGTCACTCGGAGACGCCTGCTGAGAGCAGCGTGTGCTCCCCGAGACGGGGAGGCCTCGGAGTTTGGGGTGAAGGTCGTGTGTCCCTGTTCCCTCCCCATCGAACGCTCTGCCCTGGATCTTTGCCCAGCGCGGTGCCTGCTTCTTGTCCCGGTCACAGCTTGTCAGTCACCTCCTCTGAGCGTCCTTCCCCTTCTGCCCACTTTGTCTGGACTCGATGTCCAGCTGCTTTTCGGCACATCACTCAGTTCTCGCTCTTTTCATGGCCTCTACCACAGGCTGATACCATCATTGTCAGTTTATTCATTTTCCTCAAACCCACCGATGGCCTCCCCGGGTGCCAGTTAGCTCCTGCGCCTGGGCGAGCAGCCCAGCACTCGGTGCCTCCCCTCACTGAGGATGCTGGTGGTTGACGGAAGCTTTGTCTGACGTGGGCAGGGCCATCTGACCGATGGCCTAGCATCGCCAGCCGCTCCTGTTCTTAGATGGGCAGCCAGGGCCTCTCTCCGCGCGGCTTCCCGTCCTGGAGCCAGGAAGGGCATGCTCCGATGTCCAGTGCTTTTCATGCCTCTACTGACGTCGCATGTGCTAATGTCCCATTGGCCGGGGCAACCGCATGTGCTAATGCCACGCCCTGTTCACCGGAGGAGGACACAGACCCCACTGTGGGAAGGCGAGCAGAACGCGTGGCCGTTGACAATGTCCCAGAAGAGCTGTCTTGCTCCCTGTGTGCCTGTGCCGGAGTGTAAATCTTTTCCGTCTGAAGGCCGTATGGCCTGTGCGGCAGCTCCTCTGCCCTGCGGCGAGGACAGCCACGGAGGGTCCATAACCACGGGTGTGGGTGTGCAGAGCGTCTTTAAAAGCAGGTGCCGTGGGCGTGGTTGTGGTGGGTGGAGCCAGCGTAGAGTGTCCCCTGTCACAGTGCTCAGTGAGCAGGTGTGGGACCAGCAAAAGAACCAAACTTCTGGTCACAGTTCCGCGTGCGCCGCAGCGTGTGGTGCCCAGGGCGCACGCCCGCCATCGGGCCGGGCCCCTGGCGTCAGCACTAAGCCACGGGGTGAGGACTCTGTTCTCACAGGCCTGCCCTCGCTCTGACACCAGCACACCTCGGGGTCCTTAGGCCACCCACACTTCTGATTGATTGATCGGCTATAAACCTGGGGGTTCCCACAAACCCTTTAGGTTCAGTCATTGGCGGTAACAGCCCACAGAACTAAAACAGAGCTGTAACACTTTGGGGTCCCGAGCCTCCTGATCCTCGGAGGGAGCTCCATGGACCTTCCCCACAGGGCCCCTCGGATGCTTGACTGGCTCTCGTGGTTCTTACTGTGATCACAGGACACACTTCAACATGAAGCCACGAGGGGACTTTGAGGAACAGGTTTGCTAACGGACTAGGTCCCGGGGTGGCAGAGAGGAGGAGCGAGAGGGTGGGACCTGGGGCTCTGCCTGGAATCAGTCTGAGGGTGAAGCCTCTGCTGTTTCCTGGTTCTTTACTGTCGAATTGAAAGCATGAGACCAGGAATTGGGGTCCAGGCACGGGGAGGCAGGGTCAGCCCAGCAGTCGGGTGTCCGGGAGGCCGGGCTTTCTGCGAGAAGGGCCTTCAGTGCGGGAGGAGCTGATGCCTCGCCGGGGGTTTGCTCTCGCCGCACCAGAGGCTGGCGCTGTGTATTCCAGATGGACGGCCCCCGACGAGGGAGCCTCAGCAGTCAAAGCCTAACGCGCGCACGCGGCACCCACTGCACGCACCACGGCCACAGCCCTGCCGTTCAGGGTGCTGGCAGGGGGAGGTCGGGAGACTCCAGGAGTCCCATGCATTCGGGGTAAACGTGAGTCCTGCCTCCACGGGGTAGAAGGAGAGCCTGTCTCCGAGGGGCTCAGTGCGTCCTCTCGGCCTGGACGCAGCGGGAGCCCTGCCCTGGCGGGGAGCGCTGGGACCCGCGGCGGCAGGAAGGGTGTGAGCCTGCCGCTGCAGGGGCGGTTCCTGCCTGGGTCCTTCGGCTCTTCCTGCAGGGACAGTGACGGAGACGTGTTTGGCTTCCAGTCCTCGTCTGGGAGTGCTGTCGGGGGTCAGAGGGTGAAGCTGAGGGGTGCTGCCAGCACCCTCGGTGCCCAGGACAGCCCTCCCAGTGGAGCGCTCTCGGGCCTCAGACGTTAACCATGGGACCCTGTGCAGTGTGGTCTGCCGTGCAGAGGGGTCCTGTGTCCCCTGACCCCTCTTTCCTTGCTTTTCACTCAGCTTGATGTGTGTGCCGTGTCTGGGCCCGTGCCCCAAGGTCTGTCAAATCCTGGAAGGTGAGAAGACCATCGACTCAGTGACATCTGCCCAGGAGCTTCGAGGGTGCACCGTCATCAACGGGAGCCTCATCATCAACATCCGCGGCGGCAGTGAGTGTCGGGGTCCCACTGGGGTCCGCGCCCCTGGGAGCGGAGAGGGGAATGGTCGGCAAACTCATCAGTCAGCAGAGCCAAACATCAACAGCACGACCGAAATTTCTTTTGAGAGACACTTTTTTTTTTTTTTAATTAAATGCTTTTTAGTGTTTAAAATGGCATTTACACAGAAGCAGCTCCGTTCACTATCCGACGCCCTGTGACTTGACACAGCATCTGCACGCAGACATGACACAGTATCCACACTGCAGACACCTGCAGGCCAGCTCGCCGGGAGGAGGCGTGTGCATGGGGTGGGGGGCGGTCACCTGAGGACAGCGGGAGGGCAGGCCGGCCCCTCTCCCCAGACCCGTCCTGCAGCAGCGGAGCACCCGTGGGCCACAGTCCACTCCTCCCGAGAGAGACACATTTTTTAAACTTAAACTTCAAAATAGACTCGCCCAGGCCGTGGTATTTTGTGGAAGAGCCACACGCAAGGGGCCAAAGAGCTGCATGTGGCTAGAGAGCCACAGTTTGCCGACCACTGGGCTAGTCTTTGCTTCCTGCTTCCTTGGCGATTGTAAGACTCTCTGAGTGTTTCCCTAGTCAGTGGAGCCCCCCCACCAGACCGGTGATTCATAGCTCCTCTGCTCCCTCTCTCCCCGCTGAGGTTCTCATTTTCCACATTCGTAGCTGGGGCATCGGGAATTTGCATTTTTAACAAACGGCAACATTCCGTATTGCCGGTCTGAGGACTGTGTTTCCAGAAATACTGTCCCAGGCAAAAAGGCATTCCTTTGCTTATGTATTCAGCAAACATTGGCGGAATATTCAATGAACAAGGCCAAGTCTGTGCATGATGGACCTTGCAAATAAGCAGATCAGCTCTGTGAAGGGAAGCACCGTGTGGCCACGTGGTAGTGGGATAGGTACCCTTCTCTTATAAACACCGTGGAATAAATTTATTCCGCTTGGCAGGCCAGGGGGTGCCTGTTACAGTTCCCCAACTCTGCCCTTCAGAGAACATGTGAACAAATGGGTGTGGCTCTGTGCCAATAAAACTTTATTTACAAAGCAGACTGGGTTTGGCCAGTGGACTGGAGTTTGCAAACCTCTGAAGCGGAATAAGAGGTTACCAATTTAGAAGAGTTTCTGGTCAGAGGAGCCATGCTTTGAGTTGGTAATAGGGCGAACCACGCTGAAAGATGGGAGAGTGACACTCTGGGCAAAGAGGCGCCAGTGGAGGCCCCGAGGCAGCGTGTGCACGGACCGTCTGCTGAGGGGCTGGTGCAGGGGCCCCGGGTCAGGGAGCGAGGGAGGAGATGAGACAAAAAGCAATAGTCACTTACTTAGGGATTTGCTGACCCCGTAATAAGGACTTTGGATTGTATTTTAATTAAGTGCGACTCATTTTGAGCAGGATATGTCAAAGTCATCTTCAGCTTGTAATTTCACTCCTTACTGCGGGAAATTATAGGAAGATTAAAAGATTTCTGTAAAACTCCCTGGGTATTTTCTCTTTTCCTTAGACAACCTGGCAGCTGAGCTGGAGGCCAACCTCGGCCTCATTGAAGAAATCTCAGGGTTTCTGAAAATCCGCCGCTCCTACGCGCTGGTGTCGCTTTCCTTCTTCCGGAAGTTACGTCTGATTCAGGGGAACACCTTGGAAGTCGGGTATGTGGGCCGGATTCTATGTCTGTGTGAATTATAGAAAGTTAGGGGTTTTGCCAAGACATGGAGACAGCCTGAGTTTCTACCTGCAGATGAATAGATAAAGAAAATGTGGTATGAGCATTTATATATACGGGGAGTATTGCTCAGTTGTATTATTCATAAAAAAGAATGATCTGCCGCCGTTTGTGACAACAGGGAGGGACCTAGAGAGCATTATGCTAAGGGAAGTAAGGCAGACAGAAAAAGATAGATACTGTGTCATCTCACTTACATGTAGAATCTTTAAAAAACAACATCAACCCAAGACTGGTGGGTGCCAGAGACAGGGGTGGGGCTGTGGGGGAGAGGATGGGCAAAATAGATGAAGATGGTCAAACGATACGAACTTCTAGTCCTGGGTATGAATGTACAGCATGATGATTGCAGTTCACAGTACAGTGTCATATGTTTGAAAGATGCTGAGAGAGTGAATATCAAAAGTTCTCATCACAAGAAAAAAAGTATTTCTTAACTATGTGAGGGGATGGATGTTAACCAAATTTAGTGTGATAATCATTTGCAATAAATGTCACATTATTATATTGTGCACCTAAAACTGATGTTCGATGTCAGTTATATCTCAGTAAAGCTGGGGGAAGAATAGAAACACTTAATGACGTATACATTAGTTCCAGGTATATACCATAATGATTCAGTAGTTGTGTGTATTCCGAAATGATCACCACAGTAAGTCTGTTTCACATCCATCCCCATACGTAGCTACAAAGAAGTGTTTTTCTTTGTGATGAGAACCTTTAAGATCTGTTCTCTTGGCAGCTTTCAAATATTCAATACAATGTTGCTAACCACAGTCATTCTGCTGTCACTTGGGGATTTTTTAAAGCCAAGAAAGCACCTACTAGGAGAAAGTGCCTGGAGAACTGTGAGAGAGAGCAATGTGTGTGGAAACATGTCTGAAGGCCCAGGCAGGGAAAGTGGTGCCCATTCTGCAGCCATTCCTGGAAGTCACGGGGTTCAGCCACACGTTATGCCCTCCCAGGGCGCTGGCTGCACTGAAATGGCGTCTGGCCATCCGGGCTTCGCTGTGACCAGGACCCTTTAACTGCTGCCTCCAACGCCTTTTCACATCCTGGTCCCATTCATACTGACTTCACCTGTTCCTTAATGAAATCTTACCTCCTCTGGCCAATAGGATTCTACCTCCCCAAGACATTCTGCTGGCCTCCTGGATTCTCTTCCTTATTTCTTGGACTCCTACCCTTGAGTTTGTGCTGACCCCATTTCAGTTAGTAAAATAATAGAAGTCCAGACCAGCTCCATTTCATGCAGATTGAGATGGACTTATGAACAAGAAGTCAGAAGAAGGCCATCCGCCAATGTCATCAAGGATAGGACTCAAGCCTTTTCCCTCTTTATGTGACCGTGGTCACAGAATGGCTGCCTTACATCTGTAGAACTGACAGGGAAAAGGGAAAGGGACAAAGATAGGTGACAATTGAGAATGTCTCTTTCAAAATATTGTCTGGAAACTCCCACATTCTCACCCCTAACATTGAATTCTGTTTCTATCTCCTTGGCCAGAATCTGGTTATGTGGCTCCTTCTAGCTGCAAGGGAGTGAGAAAGGGGATATTTACCTTTTCCGGTAGTATAGTAGAGGAAGGGAAAGGAAGAGGGGGGCGTGCGGGTAGATGGCTTCAAGAAACCAATCCATAGAATTGGTTAGACTACGTTCTTGAATCACTCCCCAGCTCCTGTTGATTTTTCTGCCATACATCTGCTTTTTTGTTGAAGTTCAGACTTGATTTTGATTATTCCAATGATCCTCAGCTAGGCATCCTAGAACTAGACCAGTGCTGTCCAACGGAAATATAATGCAAGTCACGTGTGACTTAACGTGTTCTATCGATAGTAGCCACATTTTAAAAAGAAATAGGTGAAATGAACTTTAACAACGTATTTTATTTAGCCAATTACATCTAAAATGCCATTTCAACTTGCAACCAATATAAAATATTATAAGGGAGGTCTTTCATACTTTTCTATTTTGCATGCTAAGTCTTCAAGATCTGTGTTTTACGTCCAGTACAGTTCAGAATGGCCACATTTCAGGCACTCAGTAGCCCGAGTGGCTAGTGTCTTCTGTATTGTACAACACAGACCTAGATGCTTTCGTTCTCCTATTTATTATGTGCAGGTGGCCCATGGGCACAGGTCTAATCACGTTACTGCGTTGTTATAAAACCTTCAGTGGCTCCCCTCTGCCGACCCAGTAGGTCACATGGTCTTAGTCTTGGTTTGGTATCCAAAATACTAGAGGGTTTGGTATCCAAAATACTTGACCACTGCAGCTCTCCAGTCTGTTTCCTATCACCTCTCAGGCAGAGCAGGCTACTTTGCTCTTCCCTGGGCCCAGCTCAGGTGCCTTTGTCTGTTCAGTCTCTCCCCTCTGTGAGACCTGTATTTCAATCCACTGTAGTCATACTCCCCTCCCCACAAGATGGAGTTCAGATACCTTCCTGGCCATGAATTCCCTTGGCACTCCCACCCCCATTGTGTACTTACTAAGGACATGCCAAGCAAATGGTTAGGGCTGGGTATGTGCTGCTGGCAAGATCAACGCCGGCCATGGCCCCACCATCTTGTAGTTGGAGAGTACAAGCCAATGAATGACTAGGTGTGTGTGTTTCCATAGGAACTACTCTTTCTATGCCTTGGACAACCAGAACCTAAGGCAGCTATGGGACTGGAGCAAACACAACCTCACCATAACTCAGGGGAAACTCTTCTTCCACTATAATCCCAAACTGTGCTTGTCGGAAATTCACAAGATGGAAGAAATTTCAGGAACTAAGGGACGCCAGGAGAGGACCGACATTGCCTTGAAGACTAACGGGGACCAGGCATCCTGTGAGTGGTGATGGCCCGGTACTTCCAGCCTGTGGACCAAGTAGTGTTGTTTCCCTTCCCTTTCCCTCCCACACCGGCCCCCAGGAATAGCTCTGCCTCCCCTGGGAGCTTACACAACTCCATGTGTGAGAGGCTTTCTGAAGTACTGAGGACAGGTGGTGTCTGTATCAGATACGGTGCCTGATACTGGAGGAAGTTACATAAGCATTGAATGAATGAATGAATGAATGAATAATATCTCCTTATATATGGCCTTAGATCAGATGTTACTACAGGCCCTGCCGTTGCTGCAGCTGGAGACGGTCGGCTGACTGCACTCCTGGGATAGGTTCCCTCTTGAAGGAGTATTTGAGCATTGAGCTGCCAGGGCCTCCGTCATACTGTCGCACGGAATTGATTCTTTGCAGCAGGATGTGGTCCGCATTGTGGGAATTCTGAGGAGGAAGAGTGAGGGTGGGTGGAGCTTATGGGAAGACTTGCATTCCCAGAAAGGAAATTATTCTCTCCAAGATATGGAGACTCAAGAAATTGTCTGCCCAAGGTATAATGATCTAAACTCACTTGGCACGTGCTCATCGGCACTGGAGTTACATCTTGGGACATGTCAGGCTTAAAAATCCACGTGCAGTCAGAACTGTCAGGACTCTTACCTATTGTCCTCACATTGGTGCCAAGTGCTGTTTTTTAGTTGAGCCTCTGGCCAGGTAACTGGCTGGCAGTATGGACCAGCTGCTATGACCAGTTCCTGCCCTCACTCACTGGGAGGCTCCCTGGAACAGCAGGCTGACACCTCCTTTTCATGGACATTCCTGGGCGTGTAGGATCACTGCTTTGTGCTGAAATAAATGATAAAATACTGATACTGTTTGTTGGTATTTGTTTTGTTTTGTTTTGTTTTGTTTTAAAAAAAAACACCACTTTTCTAGGTGAAAATGAATTACTTAAATTTTCTTACATTCGGACATCGTTTGACAAGATCTTACTGAAATGGGAGCCGTACTGGCCCCCTGACTTCCGAGACCTCCTGGGGTTCATGCTCTTCTACAAAGAGGCGTAAGTATAAAGTAAAAAGCTATGGATATTGCATGTGTGCTCATTGTTCCCCTCGGAGGCTGCTCTGTCTTCCTCCCCTTTGTGGAATAAACTTGGGGAGAAGCTAGAAATTGAAGCAGATAGGTTTCATTTGGGGTCCACATGGGCCAGTCTCTTATAGCAATTATTTTATTTTGCCCTTTATATGTATATCTCACCAGATTTCTTCAGCGAAAGGTCACTCGGTGTACTCAATAGTTTTTTAAATTTTATTTTTTAACTATTTCGTATTTCTCCATCATTTAAAAAGTTGTAGGAGGGAAAGCTAAGACGGCAGTGGAATAAGTGGATGTTACATTTACCTCCTCCCAGAACTAAAAACTAGAATTACAACTAAAATATAGAGCAATCAACTTCAATAATCAACTGAAGTCTAGCTGAAGAAAGCCTTGTAACCAAGGATTTTTAGAAGAAGCCACATCAGGATGATAGGAAGGGCAGAGATACAAAAGGGCTGGTCCTGCTCCCAGGGGCAGTGGCTGAAATTTTGGAGGGAATCTCAGCTGCTAATGTCCCTCCTGAAAAGCATGGGGTCTCAACCCCACTCTGGGCTCTCCAGGCCAGGGCAATAGCATAACATATGGCTGTGAAAATCAGCAGTAAATCTGCCTGCCGGGGAGACACAGGCACCCTCTTAAAAGCCCAATGCACAAATCTTGTTCTCAGCCACTCCCTCTGTGCTCCAGTGGAAGGAGGGTGGAGCAGATTAGAATCTCCTAGGGAGAGAATGGGGGTTGTAGCTCTGGAGAGAGAGAGATGAAGGGACAGCTGCCAGGATTCCTGTGCTGAGTCCATCTCCCACACCACAGATGCCATCTTTCTTGGGGAGAACATTCCCTTCCATGGTATTAGCCCAGGGGAATGCAGTAAGACCACCCTCCGGACGCCCAGTTGTCCAACCCTATGTACATGGGTCCTGCTGAGGAGCCAGCTGCCTGGGCTTGGGTGTAGAAGTCCAGGCAGACTCATGGCTTTCAGTGACTGTGTCGTGTGGCTTTGGAGTGGAGGCCATTCCGCCCACTTTCTGGGGAACCTGACTGGAGGCACCCCTCCTGCAGGGGAGACCCACTAGCCCCACCCTCCTGACTCCTGGTGCACAAGGACAGATTGAGTTGTGTGGCCTTGCAGTGAGGGCCACCTTCCCCCAAGCCAGACTGACAGCTCCTCCTCATGGGAGGTCCACTAGACCTGTCCTTCTGCTGTGGTCGGACAGATTCTGGGACAGACTGAGTTGTGTAGCTTTAGTAGCGAGATCATTTTTCTTTACATGCTCGACTGGTACAAAGCCCTCCCTTCACAGGGCCAAATCTTGCTCTTTTTGGACCTGATAGACTCTGCTGGCCTTACTCTGATGACTCCCTTGACCACGCCCATGACAAATGTGTGTGAGCAACCCAGTGGGTGGCAGGTAGACTTTCTATACCCTGGACATATGCTGAGTGGCCTCAGACCCAACATTGGCACCGAGTTTGAACCTGTAGCTATCTGGCAAACATCAGTCACCCCTACCTGATGATTGAACCTGCCTTGTCCAACTGGAGTTCTGCCAGAGGCTCTTTCAGTGTTTGAGCCTGACAGGCAACAGACAGGCAGAGGTGGATCTCAGGGTGCGTTGGGACTTTTGTGGACCTTTTCTTGGGCCTGGAACTTTTAAAGCCAGCCATCGTGCACAGCTTGTTTCTACCTGTGCACAGCCAGGTCCAGCAGAGGCGGCCACAACTGCAGATCACTTTAAAGCTTCAAACAGGTTGGCCAGGGATGGTCAAAGGCAGCATCTGACATTGGACTGTGCCAGAGTTCCTCCCAAGAGGCCCCAGAACCAACACACCCACAGCCAGCTTTAGACAACATCAGAGCAAGACCCAGTAAGCTGCACAAGTTGCATATCCAAAGGAAGATCTTGGCAGGCACCAGACCTTGCAGAGGAGAATTTAGCTCTGTGTAGTCAGCACCTACACAAAGCTTATTCACTGTGGTTGAGATTGATCCTCACAGTCAGCCAGCCTGAGGACTGACCCCACCTATGAACGGCCAGTAGCAATCAAGACTCATTATAAGAGAAGGGCCCACATAACCCTCACAAGAGTCATTCTCGCAACACCCAGATCAGGTGATCAAGGAGACTGCACATTGCAGTCCTGCAGGACATACACTGCATACATCCACCCTACCAAGACAGAGAGTCGTAGCAGATCTACCTACTACATGGAAACAATAGAAAGAGGCAGCTAAAATGGGAAGACAAAGAAACAAATGAAAGAACATGAGAAATCTTCAGAAAAAGATCTAAATGAAGTGGAGGCAAGCAATTCATGACATACAGAGTTCCAAAGAATGGTTATAAGGATACTCAAGGAACTTAGAATTATAAGAGCAAAGGAATATAGAAACCATTAAAAAGATCTGGTCAGAAATGAAGAATACAGTACCCAAAATGAAGAACACATTAGAAGGAATAAACAGTAGGTTGCAGAAGGGGATCAAGGGACTTGGTTTTCAGCTACCCTGTAGCAAAAAGTACCCAGAGTGGCAAAATGAAAAAAGAATTTTAAAAAGTGCAAATAATTTAGATACCTTTGGGATAGTATGAAGCCTACCAACATCCACATCATAAGGCTACCAGAAGGAGAATAAAGAGAGCAAGGGATTGAAAGTGAGGCATGGTAGGAGAACAGATTGGGGGGGTGGGTAATGAAGGACAGTCTTTACATGGTGTTAATGAATTGTAAGCATTTGATCTTTATTAAAACTTCTAGAGGCCTGGTGCACAAAATCATGCATGGATAGGGTCCCTAGATCTGGTCTCCTATCAGGGCTGATCAGGGCCTTCCTGCTGCCAGCCTGGGCCTTCATTTTGTGCTGCCATCTGGTGGTCAGCACATGTCATAGCAAGCTATCATACTCCTGGTCTCCCAGTCGAACTGCCAAGGGGACAATTTGCATATTAGGCTTTTATATATATAGATTGAAGGAGGGATGGGGGGAAATTGGGAAAAGTACATAACATAATAAATTAATTTGAAGCATCCAGCTCAGTGGCATTGTGTTCATTTGTCATGTTATGCAACCATCCATCTCAAGAGTTTTCTATCTTCTCAAACTGAAATTCTATCTGCAGTAAACAATACCTAATTTTAAAGATGCAACTGTGCTGAAATTTTAAAAGAAGATAGTGGAAGTGGTGCTAGTGTTAATATCAATACTAGCTTCATTTCTCAAGATTATGTGGCATAATCTTGTTAGCTGAGAAGTTGCATACATTCTCTTATATAATCTTATGAAGTAACTGCTGATAGTATCATTATCACATTTGTTATTAGGAAACTATTAATTACTATTGATTAAATATTATCAAACATTATTTAATATTATAATTGCATATGTAAAATGACACATACTATGTAATAAAAGGGTAATATGTAAATTAACTATCACTCCATCACAAAGATGGCAGCACCCATAGGCACAAAATGGTGGCGTCCAGTCCTCTCAGCCCCGCCAGAGTCCCCCAGTCCTGAGAGGTGCGGCTGATGAGAGCAGGCAGCATGAGCAGTGACAAGGCAAGCATTCCGTGCCCACTGTGGATGGGCCTCTGGCAGGCTGGGGCACAGAACGCTTGTGTTGTCACCCCGGCAACAAGGCAAGCATTCTGACCCGGCCGCGGATGGGCCTCTGGGCAGCTACGGGTGCAAGATTCATGTGCAGAGCTACTAGTACTATATAATAGTTAAATATAGTACATCGTGTAATCATATAATATTAAATAAATAAAATATTAAATATTATTACTATTGAGAAATCAGGGGCTGTGGCTCCTTTCTCTTAGGCTGTTTCTGTGTGTAGTCAGCGACTTGGTGTTCAGTTATTTCTCCTTGTGCATAAGGTTGTTGGTAAAGAGGATGCAACCCTTTAGGGTGTAATTTTCCCCTGGCTGCATCTCTGTAGTCCTCAGAGTGATCACTGAAAATGGTAACCATCTTCTCTTTCACCTTGAAAGCCCTTATCGCAATGTGACGGAGTTTGATGGGCAGGATGCGTGTGGATCCAACAGCTGGACGGTGGTGGACATTGACCCACCTGTGAGGTCCAATGACCCGAAGACGCAGAGCCATCCTGGGTGGCTGATGCGGGGTCTCAAGCCCTGGACTCAGTACGCCATCTTTGTGAAGACCCTGGTCACCTTTTCCGAAGAACGTCGCACGTACGGGGCCAAGAGCGACATCATCTACATCCAGACAAACGCCACCAGTGAGTACATGAGGTGGCGGGAATGTGTGGGGGTCAGCGTCTCGCCTCTGATATGTCGACGTTGTCTGTGTGAATGGATGGACGAAGGCTCACATGATGGGCATGATCGGTGGTAGCGATGGACTGTGGTTATGTACCTCCTGTCCTGGGTGAGCCTGCCACGTGGCTCCAGCTTTCTCTGACATTAAATGGCTCTGCAGCCAACACCTTCATGGTCCATCTAGCCTGTGGGTCCCCTCACCTCCAGCCGACAGTGTGCACCCTCTTCACCGTGGACCTGTTTCCTTTCGCCTTTCCAGATCCTTCCGTCCCCTTGGATCCCATCTCCGTTTCTAACTCTTCGTCCCAGATCATCTTAAAGTGGAAGCCGCCCTCTGACCCCAATGGCAACATCACACACTACCTGGTCTTCTGGGAGAGGCAGGCGGAAGACAGGGAGCTGTATGAGCTGGATTATTGCCTCAAAGGTGAGTGTGGCGCGGGTTTCACACGCGTCTGATCCCTTCCAGGTCTAGGGAAGTCTCTCTCCTCCTCCATTTCCCAGTGTGTACACAAGAGCAGACTTGCACACACACTCTGTCCTCATACGGAAACACACATACTCATTTCTAAACATCACAACATGAGCACACACTCTGAAGTCTCCTGTGGAAACCAGATATTTCCCATGTCTTGGCACCATTTCCCTGTGGGATTCTCTCCTCCTCCCCTCTCTGTCCCACCTCATCTTCTTCCCCTCTTCCTCATCCTCCCCACACCCCGGCCCAATGGGGAAGCAGCTGTTCCCCACAGGAGCTACCCTGCTGGTCTACAAGCAGCTGAGCGTGCCTCAAACCAGTTAGTATCAGTTAGTTTAAGGTTATTTTTAAAACGGGTTTTAAAAGGCCCTATCAAACCGGAGAACCAGGTCATGGTTTTCTTTAATTGGGTTGTGTTTGCGTTTATTTTTCTTTAGGTTTTGGGGGGATAGTGATCTCAGCCTTTGACCTGGGGCTGCTGGTGAGGCGTGGCTGAGGCCAGGTTCGTGGTAGGCTCTTCGCCAACCTCCGACCTGAGCTTCCCACCAGCTGCCTTCTCTCCGGGAGAAGGGGCCAGAGGCCAGATGATCTCAGGGAGCTGTCCCCGCGGCAGGGCCACGGGCTATATGTATGCCTGTGACCTCACTCCCCGCCGGAGCCAAGGGCTGCAAACGTTCTTTATCTCCCCGGCTGCTTTATATAACTCGAGAGCGAGCAGCCGGGGGCTCAGCTGCGAGCTGTTGGCCCTGCGTTCGAGCAGCTGAACCGGCAGCAGGGCAGTCCAGGCTCTCTCTCTCTTTTTTTTTTTTTTAAACAACAACTTTAATTAATTTATTTTACTTTTTATTCTGGAAGTCTAAATATATCATTACAATGTGACTATTTAAACGAGGTTTGATTTCTAATGATCCCAAAGTTTATATAATTAAAAGGAACTTTCTAAGGACAGAGAGTGTCCGATTGCACTCCGAGGAGGTCCCTTGAGGAGTCAGACCCATGGAGACAGAGGAGGTGCAGGAGCCAGGGGCCGGGGAGCCGCGGGGGAGGGAGGGGCCTCATGTTTAATGGAAACAGTTTCCGTTGGGGAAGGTGAGAAAGTTCTGGAGATGGAAGCTGGTGATGATTACGTGATAATGTGAATGTACTTAATGACCCCGACCTCTACTCTTAAAAACAATTAAGATTTTTTTGTGTGTATTTTACCATAATTTAAAAAGCCCAATGCAAGCACAAATATATAAACTTACTAACACAATATAAATAACTAGAGGCCCAGTGCACGAAAATTCATGCACTCGGCGTTGAGGGTCACTCAGCCCGGCCTGCGCCCTCTCGCAGTCCAGGAGCCCTCAGGGGATGTCTGACCAACAGCTTAGGCCCGCTCCTGGCCTCCCTCTGCGGGAGGCGCCAGCTGCTTGCCATTGCCCCTCCATTGGTCGCCCCCCCATTGCCCCATCTCCCCTCCCCCACTGATCACCACTGCCCCACGATCCCCATCCCCTCCCTCTGCCCACTGGCGCGCGCTCTGGCTGGCCTGGTGCTGCCTGCTCACTGGCCCCGCCCCCCACCAACCTCACCCTCTGTCGACTGGTCATTCCATGGTTCCGTCAATTTGCATATTACACTCTTATTATATAGGCTATACTAACCATAACCAGTAGTGGCTTCCTACTAGTATCAGTAGTGGGTTTTTTTTTGTTGTTTTTTTTTTTTTTAGCTTTTTGAGGTATAATTGACAGTTAAATTACGATCTTAAAGTGTACATCGTGCTGATGTGATAACTATATATATACATTGTGTAAAGACTCCTCCCATCTGCTTAGTTAACATCCATCACCTCACCCAGTGATATTTTTTTTTTTCCTTTTGGTGAGAACATTTAGAAGCTACGTTAACTCTCCTAGCATATTTAAATTATACAGCACAGTGTTACCAACCGTGTGGCTTTTTATTGTGGCAAAATCACATAACGTAAAATGTACTCTCTTAGCCACGTAAGTGTCAGTTCAGTGGCGGTAACTGCGTTCACGCTGTTGGGCAGCCATCACCTTCCCAAACTGACCCTGTCTCCGTTTAACACGGACTCCTCAGGCCCTGCCCAGCCCTGGCTTCCACCCTCCCTCTCCGTCTCTATGCATCGACGGCCCTCGGTGTGTCACTGTGCTTCACAGTCACAGGAAACCATGGGCGCCACCTGGAACAGGTGTGGGCCTGCATCTGATAAAAAAAAAAAAAAAAAAAAAAAGTCCCTTCCCCTCCAGAAAATTGTCAGGAATCCACCCCACCCCCATCACCAAGGAAATCCAGTCCTTTTCAGCCCGTAGCGCATGACTAGCTGCTAACCGTTCCCAGCCAGGCTGTTCCATGCCTTAATGAATGTAGTAAGAAGCGTTTTTTAAGAGTCCCCTGAGGTTTTAAAGCAGGTGAGCACTCGGGCTTCCGAGTGGACACGCCGTTCGCAGGAAGGTGCGTAGGGCTCGCTGTCTGCGGTCCTGGTAGCGGGAGAGGATGGAGCTTCCTTCGCTCTGAGACGGCAGGGAGGCTGGTGGCAGGAGAGGGGACTCGAAGGGCCGTCCTGAGTTTGGCCCGTAAGAGAAGTGAGCATTCTCAAGGTTGTGCCAGAGGGCGCTGTGCGATTGGGCCTCGGGGTCCAGACACAGAAAGCAGCTTTGTATTATTAAGACTGCTCCGACAAGAGGTGGCTTTGTTTTCTTATTCCCTTTTCTAAGCTCACTTTAAAGTTTCCTTTCCAATCTCACCCTAACCCTAACCCTAACCCTAACCCTCATTTTTTAGTCCAGGGCTTCTCTGCCTCAGCAGTGTTGACTTTCAGGGCTGGTTAATTCTCTAGGATGTCCCTGCCCTCTGCCCTCTACATGCCAGGAGTCCTCCCCCTCGCCTGCACCCCCTACCCCCACCACCAGCCCTGACAACCGGAAATGCTCCTGACCTTGCCCAGTGCCCAGTTACACAGCATCACCCCCTGGTGGGAGCCACTGCCAGCCCATTCCTGATTCCTGAGTGAGCTGTGGATTCTGTTTGTGCTGTACAATGGGATGGCTCAGTGTAAACATCGCGTCTCTAAGCCACACCCCTCAGAATTCCTGGTAGAATTCTGCTCTGCCCTCTGGTCTATCTGGTTATGCAGTTGGTTGATTGATTGATTGATTGATTGATTATTTGATTGATTCATTCATTCAATGCTGACTTGGCTCCCCTGTTCTTTTCCAACCCTACCTCCCACCATTCTCTGCACCTCATCTTCGCACTACATTGTGTGTGTCCTTGGGCACGCCAAGGACATTCCTGCTGTGGGGCCTTTGCACGTGCTTTGTGCTCCGTCTGAGCTGCTTTGCACCAGGATCTGTGGACGGCTCGTTGCTGTACTTCATTCAGGACTTCTCAGCAGTCCCTGTCTCTGGGGCCACCCCAGACGCCTCTCTTTGGAGGCTGCCATCTGAGCCTCGGCAGGTTTACTGACTAGTTTATTGTGTGTTTCTACCCTTCGAGGAAGCCTCTGGAAGTTTCAGGGGGGCAGGGACGGGCCTGGCTATCGGGCAGTACCCGGTCCCGTGAGGAACTGGTATTGAACAGAGTCTGGAACACATCCTCTCAGCCAGCACTGGCTACCCCCCCCCCCGCCCACTCCCCGAGAAAGGTCTGACTCTCCAGCCCTGAGCTCTGTCCTGTGTGCCCCGCCGCTCTGAGCAGGTCCCCTTTGGTGCGTGTGCATGTGTGTGCGTGTGTGTGTGTGCGTGTGTGTGTGTGTGTGCATGTGTGTGCGTGTTTGTGTGCGTGTGCATGTGTGCGCGTGCATGTGTGTGTGCGTGTGCGTGTGTGTGTGTGTGTGCGTGTGTGTGCATGTGTCTGAGTCCACCTGTTCTGCCCTCTGCAGGGCTGAAGCTGCCCACCCGGGCCTGGTCCCCGCCGTCGGAGTTGGAAGATGCCCTGAAGCACAACCAGAGCGCGCTGGACGAGGCGTCTGGCCAGTGCTGCACCTGCCCGAAGACCGACTCCCAGATCCTGAAGGAGCTGGAGGAGTCCTCGTTCCGGAAGACGTTCGAGGACTACCTGCACAACGTGGTCTTCGTCCCCAGGTCGGCTTCGCTGGTCGGGCGAGGGGTCGTGGCCAGGGGATAAGAGGAAGGGGACCCCGAGAACGCAGATCCACACGGAGCCTCTTCCCCGGGCGGAGGGAGGGGCCTTGTGTCAACAGGAGCTTACTAAGAAGAGCAGATATTCATCAAAGGGGGTGGGGGGTGTTAAAAAGCCTCCGGCATCTCCAGGGCCTTAACCAGCCTCCGGTGCCCACCGGACTCTGAGACAGCCTTTGTGAGGTTACTGATGCCAATCCTGAGAAATGCCCGCCAGCCAGGCCTCAAGCTCGGAGCATTCTCTCTCTTCCAGTTCTGCCAGCTTATCCTCTGGCACTCTGCCCAGCGTCGTCGGACCCGGGGACTTCCACTGAAATGTGTTGTTTTCCGTTAGTTCCCGGGGGGACTCGCTCATGCACATTCGATCTACCGAGAGGGAGGTGTCCTTCTCTGCGAGCAGGCCTCTCGGTGCCCAGCTCACTCCCCTTTAGAACGGAGATAGGAGTTCCCATCTCTTAGGGGGTGAGGCGCCCAAGTCATACAGGAGTCTCCCTCTTGGCACTGTGGACATCGGAACCAGATCCTTCTTTGTGGGGGGCCGCCCTGTGCGGCGTGGGGTGGTGAGCACCTCCCCTCCCCCCGCCGCTCCCCCTGCGGCCTGTCGCCCTCTGCCTCCTGTCAGCTCCTCAGCCTCCACAGTCACCGCGGAAGCCGCTGCCCCTCCCCACGGGCTCCAAAGCCTGTTTCTGAGCCGACGAGGACTTGCCCCAAGTCCCCCGGCAGATGTACAGTGAGCCTCCTGCCTTTCCCCCGACCTCGCCTCTCACCCCGAAAGGCTTCAGCCCGCTGCCCAGCATGGCTGAGGCCATGGGGTCGACACCCAAAAGGCGTTCCTGGGATAAAACGAGCTTCTAAATGTGTCTCTGAGCCCCTCCGGCTCTGCGCATCCAGGAGCTCCATGTCCCCTCAGACCCATCGGCACGGGACTCCTTCCTTTTGTTTCCTGCTTTTTCCTCCCGTGCCCCTGAGTCAGAGACCACAGGGCGCCCGGCACTGAGGCGGCTGCTGCCCCTGCTGGGAACGGGACGCCGCCAGGCTCGGGAATGGCACCCCAGGGAGCCTCAGGAGGCAGGGCCGGCTTTTCTCCGGGTGCCCCTGGTTCTGATTCTCACGTCTCCGGGAGGATGTGCTTCAGGTGATGGGAAGGGCCCTGGGGCAGGCGCTGGGGCCGCTCCAACAGAACGTGGCTCCCAGGGTGTTAGAGCAGGAGGTCTGTACTCACAGAGGCTGGTTTTGTTTCCACAGGAAAGCCTCCCCGGGCCCCGGTGCTGAGGACAGCAGGTACGGCTCACCGGGGGACACGGGGGCGCCGGCCGCGGAGGGAGCGGAGCAGAGCGTGCGGGGCCGCCCGGACCCGGGCTTCCAGGGCCCGATGCCGCGAAGGGCCACGCTGCCAAGGCTGGCACCTCACCAGCTCACACCTCAAACGCCTTCACCCCAAATGTGGGGAAATCGTTACTAACACACTTTCCAAAACCTGGGACCAAGGGGGCTCGCTCTAGGCACCTTCCAGACGCCACGTGTTCCCCCGCACCCGCTCCCCGAACATTGACCCTCTGTGCGCGCAGAGCGGAGCCTGGGACCAGTCTACACCTATGCAGCAGGGGGCGGGAGGACTGGCCTGGAAACAGAACCTTTTTATTACTTCTTTAATCCTCACCCATTTAAGGATATATTCCCATTGATTTTTTTTTTTTTAATATATTTTGTTGATTTTTTACAGAGAGGAAGAGAGAGTGATAGAGAGATAGAAACATCGATGAAAGAGAAACATCGACCAGCTGCCTCTTGCACACCCCCCACTGGGTATGTGCCTGCAACCAAGGTACATACCCTTGACCGGAATCGAACCCGGGACCTTTCAGTCTGCAGGCCGACGCTCTATCCACTGAGCCAAACCGGTTTCGGCTTCCCATTGATTTTTAGAGAGTGGAGGGGAGGGGAAGAGACTGAGAGAAACATCGATGTGAGAGAGACATCGACTGGTTGCCTCCCATGTGAGCCCCCAACCAAGGCTGGGGATCGAGCCTTCCCCCGAGGTACGTGCCCTTAATGGGACTCGAACCCGGGACCTTCCGTCTACGGGCTGACGCGCTACCCACTGAGCCACATAGCGAGGGCTGAAAACAGAACATTTTTATTGGGGGAGACAGGTGTGAGGTGCGAGGTGCAGCCAGGTGTGCTGTGTCACTGAAGTCCCCTGAGGACGGGAGGGCACGCTCCCTTTCAGCGAACTTCTTTGTTCTTTTAAATGAGGCGTTGTCCCAGGTGAGGTGGGCAGACAGAGCAGGAGCGGCAGGCACGCTGGCGGGATGGATGAAGGGCTCTTGGGAGGAATGGGAGGCAGACTGAAGAAGGCAGGGTGGGGCCATGCGGCGGGATTTTAATTTTATTTTATTGGGTATAACTGACACACAACGTTCTGTTAGTTCAGGTGTACAGCGTGATGATTTGCTATTTATAACTATTGCAAAATGGTGATCATAATAAGTCTATTGAACATCTCACGTAGTCATACATTTCTTTAGTCACAAAAAGTTCACAGTCACAAAAGTTCTTATGATGAGAACTTTATTTTTAATGTATTTTATTGATTTTAGAGAGGGAGAAAGAGTCAGAAACATCAATGATGAGAGAGAATCGTTGATCGGCTGCCTTCTGCACGCCCTGTATGGGGATGGAGCCTGCAACCCAGGCATATGCCCTTGGCCAACATCGAACCCGGGGCCCTTCAGTCCACAGGCCTATGCTCTAGCCACTGAGCCAAACCGGCTAGGGCTGATAAGAACTTTTAAGATCTACTCTCTTAACTTCCAAGTATGCATGCAATACAGCATTCTTAATGATGGTCACCATTTTGTACCTTTACACCCAGGCAGTATTTACTTTATAACTGGAAGTCTGTACCTTTGGATCCTGTTCACTCACCCTGGTGATTTTATTCTTTAAGCAGAGGGTGTGTGTGTATGTGTGTGTGTGTGTGTGTTCAGGCATCTGTGTGGCCCCAAGCTTCCCTCTAGTGGCAACTTGGAATATAATCTTACAGAAAAGAAAGGTCTAGAATTGTGAGGCCTTGGGCCAGACCAGGGTTTCTGAGTCGCAGCTCTGTTGGCATTTGGGGCCAGATGGTTCTCAGTTATAGGGACCGCCCTGGTCTCCATTCACTAATGAATTACTGATTGGCTGCCTCCTGCATGCCCCCTACTGGGGATCAAGCTCACAACCTGAGCATGTGTCCTTGACCAGAATCGAACCTGGGACCCTTCAGTCTGCAGGTCGATGCTCTATCCACTGAGCCAAACTGGCTAGGGCTCTACTTAGTATGTTATTTTTAAAATATATATATTTATTGATTTCAGACAGGAAGGGAGAGGGAGAGAAATGGAAACATCCATGATGAGAGAGATCGTGGATCGGCTGCCTCCTGCATACCCCGCACTGAGGATTCAGCCCACAACCCGGACATGTGCCCTGGACCAGGAGTCAAACCATGACCTCTTGGTTCCTAGGTCAATGCTCAACCACTGAGCCAAGCCTGCCAGGCGTAAGAAAAATATTTGATAAATGCTTCTAATACAAGTGAAGAGGATTATAAAACTAGCTTGAGCCTCATCATAGACATACATACTATTTCTAGGAGAAAACATTGCCCACAGGAAGCAATAGGCAGTGGAATGATGAATAATTTGAATTTCTTTTTAAGGAGGAAAAGTGTGTCAGTTGCATAGGCTTTTTGTTTTTTGGTTTTTTGCTTTTTTTGTTTGTTTTGTTTTGTTTTGTTATCTGTACCAGCCTGAATGGCACAGGATTCTTTTACCAATATTTGAAGTTGAATCACTCAAATTATGCAGGTCCCAAGCATGTCAAACTCGGCTTGAGTAATATAAATCAGAAGACCTGTTTCTCCTTTTTAAACAAATGGTGTCGACCAGTAGCTCGGGCTACTGGGCAGATGCCATTCAGCAGGGCTTTCTGAAAAGCTTGGTTCTTACAGGCTTTTGGCGTCTTTTTTTTTATATATATATATATATATTTTTTATTGGTCTTTTTACAGAGAGGAAGGGAGAGGGAGAGAGAGCCAGAAACATCGATGAGAGAGAAACATCGATCAGCTGCTTCCTGCACCCCTCTACTGGGGATGTGCCCGCAACCAAGGTACATGCCCTTGATCGGAATCGAACCCGGGACCCTTCAGTCCACAGGCCGACGCTCGATCCACTGAGCCACACCGGTCAGGGCTGGCCTCTGATTTTTTAACACTGACCCTGGGTGGTCTGTTCCTCTGCAAGATGAAAACCTGAAACCGAGCAGGTTGAGGTCAACATCGTGGTGCGTCTACAGCGATGGCCCTGCCCCTTCCTCCCTTCCCCCGCCCTCCCTCAGCTCCCCCTCCCCTTCCCTGGGCCTGTCCCCATCCTTCTGAGGCTCCGAAGGGCATCATGAGAGCGGCTCTGAGTAGTAATTCCTGGCAATTTGCATTTTAACCCACCTGCTCCCTCGCGTCCCCCCTGCTGCAGGCTTTTATGTTAAGCGTCTTAGTCCCCAGCAGCGTTTATGTAAAGGCGGCGATCGCATGACCCGGTGTGTCTGATGTCGCAGCAGGCCGTCGAGAAGACGGAGGGCCCTTGCCGACAAGGGGAACGTGACGATGGCTGTGCCCACCGGCCCGGGTCTCCCCGACGCGGCCTCCACCGCCGTGCCCACCAGCACCGAGGAGCAGCGGCCCTTCGAGAAGGTGGTGAACAAGGAGACTCTGGTCCTCTCGGGCCTGCGCCACTTCACCGGCTACCGCATCGAGCTGCAGGCCTGCAACCAGGACTCCCCCGAGGAGCGGTGCAGCGTGGCGGCCTACATCAGCGCCAGGACCATGCCCGAAGGTGGGAGGCCCCTCGCGGGCCCGGGAGGGGCCCCGCCTCTGACGGACCCGCCCGTACGGCTTTTTATTTGGTTTCGCCTTTCCCGGCGTCACGGAGAAACGCCTGACATGTAACCCCGTGTGAGTCCCTGTGGCACAGTAGGCAGGGTGGTGATCGGGTCCCGTGCTCTGTGCACTGTGATTGCACTGCCTGGACCCCCACCACATCAGCTGACACCTCATCACGTCCCACGATCTCCAGGTCTTTTTTGTGGTGAACATTTACGTTCTCTCTCAGCAACTTTCAAGCACACGGTACAGTGTGTTTGACTGTAGTCACCGTGCTGCACATCAGACACCCGGGAATTACTCCTCTTACAGCTGGAAGTTTGTTCCCTTTGACCAGCATCTCCCCCTTCCCCTCCCCCGGCCCGGGTAGCCACCAGACCACTCCCTGCTTCTGGGAGCTCTGCCTCTTCAGTCATGCAGGACTGTCTCTCTGTCCGACCTACTTCTTACCTACTGCCCGCAAGCTCCATCCATGTTGCCTTTCTTATTTTCAGTTACACTAGTCATGCAGAGCCATCATATCAACATTAGAAAATGCAAGCCATAAGAAAAAACATTAAGGAACACCAACACACACACACACACACACACACACACACACACACACACATATGGTCTTGAGGCTTCTAGAATTAGTCTGGGTTCTCTGAATAACAGAACCAATGACAGACAGACAGACATGTGGACAGCTCTTTGAGGGGAGTTTTACATGTTCGTTCTCCAGCGAGGGCGATGGAACATAGGAAAATTAGGTAACCAGCTCGAAATCAACAGCTGCTACGTGGTGGAGGTGGGATTCGATCCGGGGATCAGGTCCCTGCCTCTAACCACTGCCCCTTACAGCCAAGGCAGATGACATTGTTGGCCCTGTGACCCATGAAATCATTGAGAAAAACATCGTGCACGTGACGTGGCAGGAGCCGAAGCAGCCGAACGGTCTGATTGTGCTGTACGAAGTGAGTTACCGCCGGGCCGGAGACGAGGTAAGGCCGGGCGCCTGGGCGGAGCCGGGAGGCTGTCGGTGCCGCCTCCTTCCTGCTCTTAGATTCCGGCCCAACGCTGCTCTCAGCAGATGCTCCATCACTGGAATCAAAGCCTTTGCCTACCTTTCCCGGCAGCCGGGTCAGGAATGCTGCCCACAGACCGCGTTCAGCAGTGTCTCTTGTTGCCTTTTAGCTCTGCCTACAAGTTGGATGGCGGCTGCCTGCGTTTGTGTCTCTCCTGCCATGGCAGGAGACTCATCCCACTTTAGCGAGAGCTATCTGGTTCTGGGAACAAATAACGTAAAGCTTTAATAAGTGACTTTTTGTTGGGCTCCTGTCTTTACTACGAGATGCTCTGCAGGATGATGGGTGATGGGTGAGCACCAAGATGCACAAGACATGGGAGCTAAGAACCAAAAAGCCACTAAGCTATCCCAGGGCTCATGCTGTGCCCTGTGCATGTTAAGCTCTTTGCCTACAGTATCACATTTATTGTTTTATTGCATCGAAGATGCCATGAGCCCAGTTATTTTTATGAGCTGCTTAGAGGCAGAAAAACCCAGCCACCCCCAGCTGCGGTCTCCAGGGTGCGTTCCAGGCTCAGAAACGTCCGAAGTGAAGATGAGATGCCTCTTGGGTTCGGTGAAGTGCTGTAACTCCTCAGTAACTAAATGAGCTGGTGCGGGAAGCTTCCAGAATTTAAGCTGTGTCCAAGGTCATAGGAATAGAGTCAGGATTCAAACTCAAGCCTATCTGGCGTTCTAATCCAGGGGTTGGCAGCTTTTTTCTGTGAGGGGCCAGATGGTCAGTGTGTTTGGCTTTGTGGCCAGACAGTCTCTGTTGCAAATATTCAGCTCTGCCTTTGTAGCTTGAAAGCCACCATATGCATGATATGCAAATGAGTGGGTGTTGTGTGTGCCAATAAAACTTTATTTACAAAAACAAGCAGTGGGCCTGGTTTAGCCTGTGGGCCACAGTTTGCCAGCACCTTACAGAGGTTATAACACAACTGTCCGATTTCTTGGAACTTTGATGATCCTGTGCCAGGCAGGCACAGCATGGCTTCCCCGAGCCAGAGAGGTCAGGTGGCCTCCCCAGGCGGCCCCACCACATCTATTGGTGCCCAGATATTCAACTTTGATGATGATTTGAAACTGAAATCAGCAAACTATGCCTGTGGTCCCAGTCTGGCCCAAGGCCTGTTGTTATGGCTGCAGGGAGTTATAAAAAGCAACAAAGAATTGTGCATCTGCTGAGTTCAATGGCCAGCCCAGCCTCAGGACAGGAGGGACCTCTCAGGGCTGCATAAAAGGAGGCGTGACTCATAGAGGGCCGTTATGTAAGATTTATCAACTCTCTCATTCTGTATACACTAACCCCATACATCCTAAGGAAATAATTCGGAATTGGAGGGGAGTGTGTGAACTTTATTCATAATATTTCATCACCATCAAAAAGTGCAGGGATGTGGTTGGAAATGGACACGTAAACAAGGGTATATCCATAAGATGGGCGGATGTGCGTCCTTTTACACGGGTGTTGGGAAGAACTTTGTTCAGTATAATGTAGAGGCTCTGGGTGTTAGGTCCTCATCTTCCACCAGCGCTAAGAACTAGCTTATGGCAGAAGGGAAGCTAAATTCCTTTGTGCCAGTTGCATTGTAAGTGTCCTTGCAGTGAGCCCAGCAGCTCTTAGCTGTCCTGCTTTGGTTTCTGTGGTATCAAGTCTCATATCCTCTCTGCGCCAAGCCTACCAGCAGAGAGAGCATTGGTGTCCCAGCATGCCCATCCAGGCTGAGCCACGTGACACCCAGGGACAGTCACAGGACCAGGGGAGTGCTGTGTGCTGATGGGGATGAGGATTATTTTTAATCCTCACCTGAGGAGCTGTTTATTGATTTAAATTTTTTTATTTTTTTTTTAGAGAGAGAAAGGAGGAGAGGGAGTGAGAGAGATTACCTCCTGTATGCTTCCCAACTTCGAATTGAACCTGCAGCCTTGGTGCACATAGAGGGAATTGGTGGGCAGGACAATGCTCCAACCAAGCCACCCACTGGGGCCAGGTCATGAGGGTTTTTCAGTAACAGGCTTATTAAGATACATTCAGCTCTAGCTGGTTTGGCTCAGTGGATGGAGTGTTGGCCTGTGGAATGAAGGGTCCCAGGTTCAATTCCAGCCAAGGACACGTGCCCGGTTGCAGGCTCAGTCCCCAGAAGGGGATGTACAGGATGCAGCCAATCAATGATTCCCTCTCATCATTGATGTTTCTATCTCTCCCTCTTTCTACCTGTCTGAAATTATACACACACACACACACACACACACACACACACACACACATTCACACACCCTGAAATACCCATTTAACATGTACAGTTAATGGTTTTCAGTACGTTTACAGACTTGTACAACTGTTACCACAGTTGGCCTCAGAACATCTTCATAAGCTCCAAACGAAACCTCACCCCCTCAGCCTCACCCCCAACCTTCTCCACCTCCTCTCGCACCAGCTCCTGGCAGCCACTCACTGCCTCTGGCTCTGGCTGATCTGGACATGTCATGTGAATGGATCGTGTAATACGGAGCCTTTTGTCTCTGGCCTTTTCATTAGCATAATGTCTTCAAAGTTCATCTACCTTGTAGCTTATATCAGCGATTCCTTCCTTGTTATGACTAAACACTATTCCACTGTATAGAGAGGCCTCGTTGTGCTTATCCAGTCATCTGTTGACATTTGGCTGTTAGGAGTCATGCTGCTGTGAACACACATGTACACGTTTTTGTGTGGGCATATGTTTCCATTCGCTTGGATGCCTGCCTCAGAGTGGAATTCCTGGGTTACATGGTAACTCGACATTTAACTTGGAAGGAAATGCCAGGCTCCCTCCCATAGCAGCTGCACCCTCTCCGATGCCCTCCAGCCGGGTACGAGGGCTCTGACTCCGTGCATCCTTGCCACCCTGCCCGGTCTGTCTGCCTATTATAGCATGCTAGCGGGCGAGAAGCAGCACCTCACTGTGGTCTTTTTTAATTTATTTATTTATTTATTTATTTATTTATTTATTTATTTATTTATTATAAATCTTTATTGTTCATATTATTACAAATGTTCCTCATTTCCCCCCCCCCCCATTGCTCCGCTCCACCAGGTTCCCACCCCACCCTCTGCCCTTTCCCCATGCCCCATTGTCCTCATCCATAGGTGCACAGTTTATGTTCAGTCTCTTCCCACATCCCCCTCTCCCCTTTTCCCCGAGAATCGTCAGTTCACTCCCCTTCCATATCTCTGATTCTATTATATTCAACAGTTAATATTGTTCATCAGATTTTTTTTAATTCCCTTGGTTTTTAGATTCACTTGTTGAGAGTTACATATTTGTTGTTCATAGTTTTCATCTTTATTTACTTTCTCTTCCGAAAGAACCCCCTTCAGCAATTCATATAATTCTGGTTTGGTGGTGATGAACTCCTTTAGTTTTTTTTTATTAGTGAAGCTCTTTATCTGGCCTTCGATTCTGAATGATAGCTTTGCTGGGTAGAGTATTTTTGGCTATAGGTTCTTGCTATTCATCACCTTGAGTATTTCTTGTCATTCCCGTCTGGCCTGCATGGTTTCTGTTGAGAAATCAGCTGACAATCGTATAGGTGCTCCTTTATAGATAACTACCTTCTTTGCTCTTGCTGCTTTTAATATTCTCTCTTTGTCTTTTGCTCTTGGAATTTTAATTATGATGTGTCTTGGTGTGGTCTTCTTTGGATTCCTTTTGTTTGGAGTTCTGTATACTTCCTGGACTTGTAAGTCTAATTCTTTCACCAGGTGGGGGAAGTTTTCTGTCACTATTTCTTTCAGTATGTTTGCGATATCTTACTCTCTCTCATCTTCTGGGACCCCCCATAATTCTGATGTTGGTTCGCTTGAAGTTGTCCCAGAGGATTCTTACATTATCTTCAACTTTCTGGATTCTCTTGCCTTCTTGCTTCTGCGGAGGAGTGTCTTCTGGCTCTTTATGTTCCAAATCTTTGACTTGATTCTTGCGATCTTCCATTCTGTTTTTAGGACCCTGTATAATATTTTTTATTTCAGACAATGTATTCTTTATTTCTTTTTGATCCCTTATTATTTCTTATTGATCCCTTTTCATATCCTCATAGGTCTTATCAAACTTTTCTAGGAAATTCTTGAAAAACCTTATTAAGTGTGGTTTTTGAACTCTATATCCAGTTGCTTTTTGTCCTCCATTTCTTTCGTTTGTGATCTGTTTCCTTGTCTCGGCATTTTCGCAGCTTTCCTGAGTTGGTAGCCTTAAAAGTCTCTGTGTTCAGCTTGGATGGGGCAGGGTTTCAGGGTGGAGCCTACAGCCTTGGCTTCCGTCAGCCCTGCCCTATGCTGCCCCAGAGTCTCAGTGTTCCTCAGGGTCCTTTGGTACTCGCTTCAAGCGCCTCTGAGAGAAAGGTGCCCTCGAGTTTCGCCTGCTGCCAAAAAGTCTAGGCTCTCCCCCAATGAGCCCGGAACGGGTTCAGTTCAGTTGAAAGTGGGATTGGAAGTGGGGTTCAGAGCAGTCTGGGCTTTTGTCTCCCTCCCACTAGGGCAATCCCGCGGCACAGCCAACTGTCCGTTTTGTGCGTGAAATGTGCGGGCCTCCGGGACCTCCTTTCGTCGCTCCCCCAGGTTTCCCCCCAACCTCTACCTTAGTTTTTGTCTGGCATTACTTTGATAGAAGTTAAAAATGTTCTGCACCACTGTGGCTTTGCCAGCTTTACAATACTCTCACCGCCTTCTTTTTATTTTTTATGTCTATTTATTTTGGTGTCTGTGGGGAGACTATTGAGTTCTAGTTCCTTCCATCCTGCTCCCTTCTCAGGCCCCAGGCTGAGGCATCTGGGGCAAATGGCTGAGGTAGGAGGTTGCATGGCCCCTTGTCCTGGATAGCTGCTGCCTTTGGCTTCGGTGTTTACTGGTTTGTCCTTTCTACGTGGTGACTCATCCTTGTAGGGACCTTTGGACCAGAGCGCCAGCCTCGCCCGCAGCCGGCCTGTTTTCTGGTTGCTGTTGTCACGTGGTAGCTCTCCGTCCTCTCGCTCCCGGCTTCACAGAGCTCCTGGGGCTCTCTCCCTCCCTCACCAGGAGCTCGGAGTTGTTGGGAAAGTTTTCAAAACCTGGCCCTGGGAGCCTCGCGCCTTTCCCAATACACACACTCTGGGTTTATCTCTAGTTGATTGTTTATCACTGGGGTGCACACACTTATCTCCTCTCGCTTCTCAGACATTTAGGTAGATCCCCGTCTTTTTTAATGAGGTGGAAGGAAGGTAACGGAGGTCAGGAAGGGAGGTTCCGGTGAGGCCGAGGCCAGGAGGCCGGGGGAGGCTGAAATGTGGTTTGGGACAGGGCTCCTCCTTCCTGCCCTGCGGGGGGGGGGGGGGGGGGGGGGGGAGGCCTGGGGAGACCAGGCACTCCGACATTGACGGATCCCCTCTGCCACTTCCCGGAGTGGACACGCAGGTGGGGAGGGGTCCTCGCCGCTGACTCCGTGGGGCTGGGCACACTGTCTGGTGTGCTCGATGCCACGCTGTGCTCGGGGCCCTCGCCTGGACCCTCTGGGCCCTCGGGGCGTAGTCTTATCCGGGTTACAAACAACGTTGTTTTGGAAACTCCTGTCCTTGTCGGCACTGAAGGTTTGCTCTCAGGCGGCATTACAGCCCTTTGTTTGTAGTTCCGGGGGGTTCCCACTGGTTTCCATCTGCATTCTAACCGTGCTGCCTGGCAGCACTGAAAGGTCACTCCTGCCTTTCCAGTGACAAATGGAATGCTAAACGAGGAGACACTGTTAGCGCACTCACTCAAGCTCCCTGATGAAGAAGCTGAGGGAAGTGACTCCTGACCAGACCAACCAGAAAACTGATCCAGAGCCAGAGCTGGAGTCTCAGGGTCAGGCCTTCCTGCCATCTTCAAAGACAGGCGCTGTTCGATCATTTCTTAGGAGAGATCACCTTCAAGAACAGGCAGGAAAGGTGTCAAATGACTTGTTTGCCAAATGACTTGTGAGAGTGTTGATAGAAGATGAGAAATGAAGGTGCTCTCATAGCTTTTGGACTTTAGACATTATTTTAGCTTTCTTATCCGTTTCATAGTCACTTCTGAAAACACTTCAACTGCATATTTAGGGATTAAGGGGCAGTGTGCCATGAATGATCTTATCTTAAGAAATGTCCTATGTTCCACCCACCCATCCATCCAGCAAATAGGTTTTCATGGTGGAAAGGTTTTTATTCATTCTGCCTTTACTAAAAAAAAATAAATAAATAAAAAATGCCCTATGTAATAAAAGCCTAATATGCATATCGACTGAATGGAGGAATGACCGGTGGAATGACCAGTCGCTATGACACATACTGACCACCAGGGGTCAGATGCTCCATGCAGGAGCCCCGTCAGCCAGTAGCTGGGCTCACGGCTGGTGAGCGCAGGAGCCTGCCCCGCCTCTGTGGCAATGCTAAAGAGCAGCTAAGGAGCAGCATGCCGAGCAGTAAGGAGCAGCGAGCAGGCGGGGTGGTGAGGAACGAGGGGTGCAGGATTTCGAGAGGGCACAGGCTGGGCTGAGGAGGAACACCCCTCCAGTGCAGGAATTCCGTGCTCTGGGCCTCTAGCAGAATAATAAAGTTGTGCTGAATGTTGACTACTGTGATTCCTACATGGAGCAGTTGTATGAATAGCTGTAACCGAGAATTAACATTTCAGTTAAGCAGTAAAGGTTTTATAGTCTGCATTTTCTCAAAAGGAAAATATCCGACAGAGGGAAAAAAGAAGTTTTGGAGCCGAGATGTTTGGGGTTGAAGGGCTAGGCTGCCACTCACCAGCTGTGAGCTCTCGGACTGACCTTTCACATCCGCAGTCGGGGCGGGCCAACTATTCACACACGCCTGGTTTTGCACAACGTGTGGCTGAGAACTGCTTCCACGTCTTAAAGGCTGTAACAAGTGGGAAGGGGAAGAGTGCCACACGGCGCCTCCCTCTGTCTGGTCGCAGATGCTGCAGGTCGGGGTTGTCTCTGGCTGCTCTGGCTGAGTTGGTGGCAGTGACCTCCCGCCCGCTGAAGCTGAGAAGATTTACTCTCTGGCCCTTTACAGCAAAAGTTCCGACTTCCCCTGAGCCTCGCTTCCCTCGTCTCTGAGGGGAGCTAAGTCATGGGGTGGTTGTAAGAATTAATGGAACGATCCGGGTCAGAGCTTTAGCTGCGGTTTCGGAAGAGCGGCTGTTACCAACCACGATAACCTGTGTTTCTGTCTCCTGGTCGGTAGAGCTGAGGCCCTAAAGTCCCAGGAGTCTCCGTTTCCTGCATGTGGCACCGATCGCGCCTTAACTCCTGTGTCCTTTCTGAGCAGATCCTGTCCACGACGTCCCCGCCCGGGCCTGCGCGCCCGTACCAAGCTCAGCCCCGCACCCTGTCTCCTGTCTTCCAGGAACTGCACCTGTGCGTGTCCCGCAGGCTCTACGCCCTGGAGCGGGGCTGCCGGCTGCGCGGGCTGTCCCCCGGGAACTACAGCGTGAGGATTCGGGCCACCTCCCTGGCGGGCAATGGTTCCTGGACAGAGCCCACCTATTTCTATGTGACAAACTACTGTGAGTCTGCACGGCCACTTGGACTGTTGGGGACAGCAGAACGTTTCTGGGGATCTTGGGGGAGGGGGAGGCTGTGCCTGCTGGCCCTGGACCGGGGCGAGGTGCCTGCCCTCTCTGAGCTTGGCCTTCCTCATCTGTCCGTGGGGATGATCACAGGACCGCCCCTGCAGCTGAAGGGAAGTTTCGGTGGCAGGAGGTCAGGTGGCTGGCACAGGGCAAGTCTGATAAGCACACCAGCTCCTGGGAGCTAGTGTTTCTGTCTTCGTTAGGAGATGGGCCATGTCCTCCAGGGGAGCAGCTGAGAGCGTCCCTGCTCAGCGGAGGGTGTGCTCTCGACGTCCAGGCAGCAAGTGCTGCCACTGAGCCAGCTGGGTGCCCTGTGGACAGGAGGGTGAGCTGGTCAGGGGGTGCTTCCTGGAGGCGGTGACATCTTGGCCGAGACCTGGGAGAATATACAGGTTTGGGCAAAGCAGGCTGTCGGCAACGGAGTGCGGAGGGCGCTCTGTCAGGGTGGAGCTGGCCACCAGAGGCAGGGGGACGCGGTCGGAGCTTACTCCGATGGCCTGGGTCAGACGCGTGCTGTCCTGAGCCTGTTCCCAGCCTGTGAGCTGGCGTTGGTCAGCATGCCTCCGCCCCCTCGTGTGGGACGGTTAGATGAGGTGCCTGGCCTTTGGGAGGTGTCTGGTGAGCTGCTGTTGGTAAAGGACCCAAATGGCCAGGTTCCTCCTCTGACTTCTCCCAACCCATTTTCTCCGGGGCTTGGAAGAGACTGAATAAATGGGCCTGTTTACAAGTTCTGACACGGCCTTACATGCCAATTTGAAAAATAAAGGCCACACAGCATTTCTTCAGCTGGCTTTAACGAGGTTCTTTAAACCTCGTTACTCCTCCCGGCAACAAGGTCACCCACCAAGGCCCGTGGGCCGCCGCTGAGGGAGAAGGGGCTGGACCCTCGGGCACACAGACAGCACGTCCTGGTGGGTTTGCCATCGGCCAGAGCTGCTGTTTGGAATCAGGACAGGCTCCATGCAAAACGAAAATGCAGGGCCCTTGTTTACAAATTCAGACTTTAAAGGTGGTGACCATGGAATATCAAACCCAGAGCGTGGCCCTTCTGAGTGTGGGCCTGGGTGGTGCCTGGGCTGCACGGCGAGGAAGCTGGCGGTGGGCGGAAGGATGAGCCGGCGGTGGGCGGCGGAAGGGGGGTAGGGGGGTGGGGGCAGGGTGTGCTTCCAGATTGCGGCCCTCTGAGCCCGCTGCCAAGCCCCAAGGAGCCAAGTGGGGTTTCGGGACTGGGAAACCAGCAGAGAGAGGCTCAGGGACAAGAAAAAGATGGGGGCACGTGTGTGTGGCCCACTGTTAATGTGTGTGATTATGGTTTGTGATGTGAACACATTTTGATACGAAACATGTGTTTTCTTATTCTGTTTTAGTGGACGTCCCACCCAGTATTGCAAAAATTATCATCGGCCCCCTCATCTTTGCCTTCCTCTTCAGTGTTGTGATTGGAAGTATTTACCTGTTCCTGCGGAAGAGGTGAGTGCGTGGGGGAAGCTAGCAGCCGGCTTCCCAGGAAAGTTAAGATAGATACAGCTGTATCTGAGCATGTTGCAAATTTTATGAGCTCAAGGATGTGTAGTATGCAATTTACAGGTGATGGTTGTAATACAGTATACAATGTGGGGTTATCGTAAATTCCCTCACCAAATGCTTTCGTGGATCATTTTTTTCAGAACCTTTTATCTATAGCCATGGTTGCAATTGATAAACAAGTGTTCATGAATGTTAATTAATATTTTGTTTATGTTAAAGAGTAGGATAAAATTGAAATAAAACATATGTTTATCAATCACAGGAGTGACTTTGCAGAATCAGATAATAATTTTTAAATAATATTTTCTCCTTATTGTGTGCCATTTACAGCATCATGGCTGCAGGTGACAGGTTTAGGTTTAATCTGCATTATTAACATTTTCCTGTCACTTTCCCAATCTCAAGCTACAGACATGACATCACTGAGGGCAGAATTGGGAAGGGATGTGCTGTTGCTCACTATTGTATAGTATCTCTGCCATACACATAGAATAATGTACATAAATGGCCTTAAGAGCACTGATCAGCCCTAGCCATGTGCCTCAGTGGGTAGAGCATTGAGCTGCAGACTGAAGGGTCCCAGGTTTGATTCCAGTCAAGGGCACATGTCTGTTAGAGCCTGTACAAGAGGTGGCCAATCAGTGATTCTCTCTCATCCTTGATGTTTCTATCTCTCCCTTCCTCTCTGAAATCAATAAAAATATATTTTTTAAAAAGATCACTGATCATAATAAGATATAGTATGATAATGAGGATGTGGTGAATTCTGAATATAACCTTTGCTTTTAATATAATTTATTTAATTGTAAGCCTGTTTTATTTGTTTGTTTAGTTAATTAGTTAATCCTCACTCAAGGATATTTTTCCCATTGATTTTTCAAAGAGAGTACAAAGGAGGCAGGGAGAAGGGGAGAGAGAGAAACATCGATGTAAGAGACACGTGGATGTGAGAGAGACGCATTGATTGGTTGCCTTCTGCATGAGCCCCAACTAGTACTGGACATCGAACCTGCAGCCAGGTACATGCCCTTGATCAGGAATCGAACCCATGACCCTTCGGTGTGCCGGTCGATGCTCTAACCACTGAGAAACCCGCCAGCACTTACTAATATTTGTTTTTTGTGAGCTGGGATGAGATGGCTGCAGAGCAGCACGAGTGGGTAGATGCTGCTGACAAAGGTGCTGCTTACACTGGGGAGGCCTGCAGCCTGCATGACCTGTGAAGTCCCGTGAGAGCCTCACACTGGAATGCCTCCCTCTTCCTCCTCCAGGCAGGCAGACGGGCCGGTGGGACCACTCTACGCTTCTTCAAACCCTGAGTACCTCAGTGCCAGCGATGGTGAGTACCACCCTGTTCCCTGTGGTGGCCAGAGTCCCGCTGCCCGTTTCCTTTCCATCACTGTCAGGGGAAGTCAAGGGCTGGCCCCCAACAGGCTGAGAGAGCCCTGTTCCCTGGAGTGGAGACCCGGCCCTTGGCTGCAGACACAGCACGGGGAGCCCTCGGGGACCCGGGGCCGGGCCGGGAGGCCGAGAACCCGGCACCCAGCTGTGCGGGTGGAGCTTGGGGACTGAGCCAGAGCTGCTCGTGGTCAGAACCAGCACGCTGTGTCTGACCTGGTGCCTAAGCTGGGAGGTGGGAATTGGAAGCCAAGATGGGAGATTGTGGATGGGGAGAGGCGGACAGAAGCAGGGACAGAGAGGGGGGCTGGAGGCAGGTGTGGGTGTCCACACATTAGTGTCTGCGCCTCATCTCCCCTTCTTACAAGGACACCAGTCACGTTGGGCGAAGGCCCACCCTGGTGACCGGGCTACCTTGGTTTTCTCTTTAAACACCTCATTTCCACGTACAGGCACGTTCTCAGTCCCAGCGTTAGGGGTTCATAGGAATTTGGGGAGGGACGCCCGTCAGCCCATCACAGTGACGGCACAGGGGAAGACAGGCCTTCGTGCTTTGTCTGCGTTCATTTGCTGTGTGATGACCCCCCCCCAAAAAAAAAACAAAAAAAAACAGTGGCTTCACCCACCATGCGTCAGTTCCCCATTTGATGGGTCTGCTCCTGGCGCTGTGCTCAGCGGGGCAGTTCTGGTCCCGCCCCCGGGCTCTTTGCAGAAACAGCAGCCTCGGTGGGAAGGAGCATCCCTGGGCGGGGGTCTCTGCACCAGGCAGATGGGACGGGTGCGGGCTCAGCTCGCCACACGGGAAGGAGCCTGGGCTGGCTGGCTTCCTTCTGCGTCTCGGCCACGCCCCCCACAAGGGCAGGGACCCACGCGAGGCCATGTCCCGCTCTTGGCATGGGTCCTGGGTCACAGAAGTCCCTCGAGGAACATTGGCGGGAGGCCGGGTGGGCGGAGGCGGGGCCCCCGAGGACGCCGTGTGGATAAGTGAGGAGCAGTGTTCCCCTGTTCCGTGTATGTGCCGGACGAGTGGGAGGTGCCGCGGGAGAAGATCACGCTCCTGCGGGAGCTGGGCCAGGGCTCCTTCGGCATGGTGTACGAGGGCAAGGCCAAGGACATCATCAAGGGCGAGGCGGAGACCCTGGTGGCGGTGAAGACGGTCAACGAGGCGGCCACCGTGCGGGAGCGCATCGAGTTCCTCAACGAGGCCTCCGTCATGAAGGGCTTCGCCTGCCACCACGTGGTGAGTGCCGCCGGCCGCCGCGCGGGGAGGCTCCCCGTCACAGGACAGAGGGAAGGGGACCGGGCGTGCCGCTTTCGGCGGGACAGTCCCAATTTTTAAGAACGCGGCGGGACGCGGGACGAATTGTTAAAAATCAGGACGTCTGGCTGAAACCGGTTTGGCTCAGTGGATAGAGCGTCAGCCTGCGGACTGAAAGGTCCCAGGTTCGATTCCGGTCAAGGGCATGTGCCTTGGTTGCGGGCACATCCCCAGTGGGGGGTGTGCAGGAGGCAGCTGATCAATGATCCTCTCTCATCGATGTTTCTAGCTCTCTATCCCTCTCTCTTCCTCTCTGTAAAAAAAAAAATAAATAAATATATATATATATATATATATATATATATATATATATATTATATATACACATATATATATATATATATATATATTTTTTTTTTTTTTTTTTTCTTTAATCGGGACGTCTGGTCACCTTAGACAGAGGGCGTGTGTCTGAGCAGAGTTGTAACCCCGGAGCCCGAAGGCAGGGGCGGCACTGGCTCCGGAGGAGGAAGAGGGGCTGAGGGAAGGCAGAACCGGTGAGCCTGCCCGGGCACAGGCTGTCGGTGCCAGGGCAGAGCCGGGGAGGGCGGAGCAGCCGTGTCCCAGGATGCCCCGCTCGGCCTCGCGCTGGGTCAGCAGCAGCTCCAGGAACAGGCCTGCGATGGCAGAAACACCGCTTCCCGCGGAGCCTCGCAGCTCTTAGCGCCTCTCCCGGGACGCTCCTTCCTCCCGCTTTTCTCCATCTTCACTTTCGAGCTGGTTCCCTTCCCCGCCCGGCACTGCTGCTCCCTCCCGTGCACAGAGCAGAGCGTGAGGACAGTGCGTGCGGACCCCTGTCCCGCCCCAGTCCCCCTCCAGTCCCACCTCACCTGGACCCAGACTCTTGTTGCCCGAGTGCTTTCTGGAATCTTCCACCCCATGGTCTTCTCAGCACCTCTTTAACCCTCAAACACGCAGGGTGCACCTGCCCAGGAGTCGGCATGCACACTGCCTGCCTGCTGCTTCACGTCGCCTCGTTTCTCCCTGAACCTGCTGTCCCTTCGTCTTTACCCCACGCGTCCCTGCAGGGCTCCTGCCTGTGCCAAGCCCTGCTCCCCCATCTGCGCTGAGTCCATTTCTGCCTTGTGGTGCTCCAGCCCCACGGGCCGCTGTCAGGAGGTGCCGCTGTGGCACAAACGAGAGCAGGTTGGGGGTGGGGGGTTTTGGGAGTGGGGAAGGTGTATTTGAGCAAAGGCAGAAAGGACGTAGGGACGGCTTTGTGGACATGCGGGGGCACAGCATCAGGCACAGGGACAGCTATGCAGAGGTCTGACGGTGGGAATGCGCCTTGTGGGCCAGATGCACCAGGAACTGCCCACGGGTGCTGTCTGCTCCCCGCACCAGATGGGAGTCTGACTTCTCCTTCCTGTTCTCCTCCCAGGGCGCCGGCCCTGGCGTTTGACCCGGACAGGCTAGGGTTTTCCCAGGAGCAGGTGCTGCTGTGACCCGACGCGAGGCCTCTGTGGGTTGAACTCTCTCACCCGAGGCCTCCCTGACCCCCCGTGCTTGCCCGGCAGGTGCGCCTCCTCGGGGTGGTGTCCAAAGGCCAGCCCACGCTGGTGGTGATGGAGCTGATGACGCACGGAGACCTCAAGAGCCACCTGCGGTCGCTGCGGCCTGATGCCGAGGTGAGCTGCCCAGCCCCGCCGGCCGCCTCCGGCCCGGCCCGGCCCGGCCACTGAGCACAGCTCCTGTTTTGGCTTTAGAACAACCCCGGCCGCCCTCCCCCGACCCTGCAAGAGATGTTCCAGATGGCGGCGGAGATCGCCGACGGCATGGCCTACCTGAACGCCAAGAAGTTTGTGCACCGGGACCTCGCAGCTCGGAACTGCATGGTCGCCCACGACTTTACCGTCAAAATCGGAGGTTAGTCTGGCTTTCTGCTCGGGAACGCAGGCCCGGCCACGTTCAGGTTAGAAGGCGCTGTCTGTCATGGGTTAAAGCTTTCCCAGCGGAAAGGGCCCAGGTTTGGCATGGGCCCCTGATCCCCACACTGTAGGTTTGTGTTTTTTTTTCAAAAGTTCTTCTTCTTTAAATTTTAAAATTTTTTATGTTTTAATTCATTTTACACTCATGTTCGTTTTGACGATCATAAACTTTACAGAGTCCCACCCTGTGACTTAATTGATTTGTTGCCTAACTTACTCATCCACTTTTTAAGTAACATGAGTGTGCCCTGGACGTGCAAGCCACTGAGTACGGCCCTGGTTTCCCCCCTCCTGAGCCTGCGGTCTCACCGCCCCGCCCCTCGCGTGGCCCTGCCGTGTGGGCCGCCCTCCTCTGAGTCGGCTCGCACTGAGTAGCATTAAAGCGGCTGCTGGTGGCCGGGCCACCTCGCAGGAGCCCGTGGCCGCCGTACGGACAGTGAGGTACAGGCGTGTTCATCCCCGGGCGCTCTGGGCAGAGCTGCCAGTGAGCACGGAGAGCTCACACTCAGACACGCAGAACAGGTGGGAGAGGAGCTGAAGGAACGGACTTCCTCTCTGAGAGGCCATTCCAATAGCAGAGGATTAGACATTGACGGAGTGACAGTATCGGGCGGTTACAGCGCCTGCAGAGGCCACGGGCCAGGGGGATGGTTGGGCGGGGAGGGGCCAGAGCAGCAGGACATAGCGGGTAGGGAGAGAGGCAGGAGCCAGGCCCAGAGGGTCTTGCAAGTCAAGGCAAGTCACCTAGACATTATCCTCGGCCAGCGGTCGGCAAACTCATTAGTCAACAGAGCCAACTATCAACAGTACAACGATTGAAATTTCTTTTGAGAGCCAAATTTTTTAAACTTAAATTTCTTCAAAATAGACTCACCCAAGCCGTGGTATTTTGTGGAAGAGCCACGCTCAGGAGCCAAAGAGCCGCATGTGGCTCGGGAGCCGCAGTTTGCCAACCACGGTCCTAGGCCGTCAGCACAAAGCAGGAAGTGATGTGATTCTCTTTATGCCATTCTGTTCCTGTAGCTTCTCTTGGGCGGCGGCTGGCAGGCAGGGTGGAGAGGGTCCTAGGTGAGAGAGGGTGTCAGGACAGCGGAGAGAAATAGATCGCTCGAGAGGGTGTGGAATGGGAGTGGGTAGGACTCCTCGCTGTGTCACATGGGGAGGAAGGGGGTGGTCAAAAGAGGACCCCACTCCGGGTTTCTGGCCGGGCAGCTGGCTGTTCGGTGGGGCCGTGGCCGGTGGGGGGCAGAAGGCTGGCCGCAGGGTTAGTAGTTGGATTTGGGTTGCGTGTGAGACATGGGTGAGCGGGAAGAGTTTCTGAGGATGGGATTCCCAAGCTCCGGCCAGAACATCGCTTTTTTGCTGCTTTAAGTGGTGGCCCCTCTTCCTCCACATCCCACGGGCACCCGAGTCCGTCCTCCGGGGAGCTGGTGGCCATGGTGAGCCCGTCGAGGGCTCCGCCGGGGCTGGGGCTGCGGAGAGGGTGGGCGCCTGAGCTCAGGGCGAAGGGTAAGAGTCTGTGAACTGTGTGTTGTCAGACTTTGGGATGACCAGAGACATCTACGAGACGGACTACTACCGGAAAGGCGGCAAAGGGCTGCTCCCCGTGCGGTGGATGGCCCCGGAGTCCTTGAAGGACGGCGTCTTCACCGCCTTTTCCGACATGTGGTGAGTGCAGCGGGCCGGCTGGCAGCGCGGGGCTGAGCGCCCGGACGCGCCTGTCGGGGGGAGGAAAGGGGCGTCACAGAAGGGAAGGTCCAGTCTGACCAGCGCCTGCCATGTTCCAGTGAGACCTGTTTTATAGGCATTTCTGGATGCGACACAAATCTTCTCTTCGTTTTCGCTTACTTGTTTGTTTTTCCATTTCAGTTCACATTCAGTATTATGTTAGTTTCAGGTGGGCAGCCTAGTGGTTAGACATCTGTAATATTCACGAAGCAATCCCCCCGATACGTCTAGTGCATCGCACATACTTACACAGCATCATGAGCTGCAGGCCCTATGCGGTGCTGGGACTGTGTAGCTGCCCCTCTGCACCTCTGAATTCCTTTACCTTTCCATCCAAATCTCCCGTCCCCCTCCCAGGTTAACTCTCAGTTGGTTCTCTGTATCTAGAATTTGTTTTTGTTTAGATTGTTAGCTTATTTTGTTTTCTTAGATTTCACATGTAAGTAAGATCACACTGTATTTGTCTTTCTCTGTCTGCCTTATTTCACGTGGCATAATACCCACTAAGTCCATCCGTGTTGTTGCAAAGGGTAAGATTTTGTTCTTTTTGATGGCTGAATAATATTCCGTTGTAAATATGTACCACATCCTCTTTATCCAGTTGTCTATTAGTGGGGATTTTGTAACTTCCTCTCTTTTTTTCACTATGCTATAGTTTTCGAGTATTGGTCTTTTACCTCCTTAGTTAAATTTATTTCTAGGTACCTTGGTTATTGCAGTGGTAAATGGGATTTTTCTTTTTCTTTCTGAGAGTTTATTTTTTGTGTATAAAAATATAATCAATTTCTGGATGTTAATTTTGTATCCTGCTACTTTACTGAGTTAATTTATTAAATTCAGTAGGTTTTTTTGGTGGGGTCTTTAGGGTTTTCTGTGTACAATATCATGTCAGATGCAAATATATATAATGACAGTTTTATTTTCTTCTTTCCAAATCAATATCTTTTATTTTTTCTTCTTTTCCTATTGCTATGGCTAGGACTTCTATTACCATGATGGAAAAGGGTGATGGGAGTAGACATTGCTGTCTTGTTCCTTATCTTAAGGGAAACTCTCTGAGTTTTTGCCCATGAGGTATGATGTTGTCTGTAGGTGTTTTGTATATGGCCTTTATTATGTTGATATATGATTCCTTTATTTCCACTTGGCTGAGAGGTTTATGAGAGATTATAAATGGGTGCTGGATTTTATCAAATTCTTTTACTGTGTCTATTGATATGACGTAGTTTTTATCCTTGATTTTGTTTATGTGATATATCATATTTATTGATTTACAAATATTGCAGCCACCTTGCATCCCTGGAATAAATCCCATTCGGTGTATGATCTTTTTAATGTCTTGCTGGATTCTATTTGCTACTATTTTGTTGAGGATTTCAGAATCTATGTTCAGCAGAGATATTGGCTTATTATTTTCTTTCTTTGTTGTATCTTTAACTGGTTGGTGAATTAGGGTAATGCTGCCTTGAAAAAAGAGCTTGGAAATCTTCCCTTCTCTTAAATTTTTTTAATAGTTTGAGGATGGTAGATGTTAGTTCTTTGAATGTGTGGTAAAATTTGCCTGTGAAATGTGGATAAGGACTTTTGTTTGCTAGAAGTTTTCTTTTTATTGCTGCTTCAATTTCATTATTTTTAATCGGTCTTTTTGGGTTTTCTGATTCTTGTTGGTTGAGTTTTTAGGATTTTGTTCATTTCACTCAGCTTATCCAACTTGTTGGCATATATTTTTCTTAATCCATTGTATTTTTGTGATGTCAGTTGTTGCTTCACCTCTTTCATTTATAATTTTACTTATTTGGGCCCTGTCTTTTTTTCTTGATGAATCTGGCTAAACATTCATCAATTTTTTATCTTTTCAAAGAATCAGCTGTTGGCTTCATTGATCTTTTGTTTTTTTGTGGTTTTTTTTTTTTGTTTGTTTGTTCCTGCTCTGATTTTTTTTTTCCCTTCTACTTACTCTGAAATTTTCTTGTTGTTCTCTTTCTAGTTCTTTTAGCTGTGCAGTTAGATTGTTTATTTGAGCTTTTTCTTGTTTCTTGAGGTTGGCCTGTAATGCCCTGAACTTCCTTCTCAGGATTGCTTTCTCTGTGTACCATAGATTCAGGATTGTTGTGTGTTCCTTTTTATTTGTTTCCAAGAAATAGTTTATTCCTTCCGTGATCTCATTGGCAACATATTCATTATTTAATAACATGCTGTTTAACCTCCACATGTTTAAATGTTTTTAAGGTTTTTTATTGTAGTTCATTTCTAGTTTCATGTCATTAGATTTGAGAAGATGCTTGATATGGTTTCAGTTTTCTTGAGTTCGTTAAGACTCATTTTGTTTTCTAACATTTCATCTGTCTTTGAGAATGTTCCATATACATTTGAGAAGAATGTATATTCTGCGGCTTTGGATTGAAATGTTCTGTAAATATTAATTAAATCCATCTGATTCAGTTTATTGTTTAAGGTTGCTGTTTTCCTGTTGCTCTTTTCTCTGGAAGATCTATCCAGTGATGCCACTTGGTGTTACCATCATGTATTATGATTGTATGGCTGTTGATCTCTCCCTTAAAGTCCTCCAAGAGGTTTTTGGTTTTTTTATATACTTAGGTGCTCCTATATTGTGAGCCTGTTTGTTTACCAGGGTTATATCCTCTTGTTGGACCGATCCCTTTAGTATCATGTAGTGACCTTCACTGGCTCTTGTCATGGTCTGTGTTTTGAAGCCTATCCCAGCTTGTTTTTTGTTTCATGGAAAATTGTTTCCACCCTCTCACTTTCATCCAGTGTGAGTCTTTGTTCTGAGATGGGTCTCTTATAGCAAACATGTGGGTCATGTTTGCTTATACATTCGGCTACCCTATGTCTGTTGATGGGAGCATTTAATCCATCTATATGTAAGATTGTTATTGATAGGTACTTATCACCATTTTTATTATTTATGCCTCTGTTCCTCTCTCTATTTCTTCTTCTACAGCACTCACTTTACCATTTCTTGCTAATTTAGTGGTAATAAACTCCTTTTGCCTTCTCCTTCCCCCCCCCCCCCCCCCAACCACCACCCTGGTCTGGTAAGCACTTTATTTCACTTTAAATTTACAATGATAGCCATGTTGCATAGAGTAGTCTTGGTTTCAGATCTTTGTGTTTCATAACTTTGAATACCTACACAACTCCCATCTGCCTATAGTGTTCGTTTTGAGAAATCAATTGACAACCTTATTGGAACTCCCTTGCAGGTAACCTGTCTCTCTCTTGTTGTCCGTAGGATTCTCTCTTTGTTTGCATTTTAATTATGATGTGCCTTGGTGTGGTTCTCTTTGAGTTCGTCTTGATTGTGACTCTGTGAGCCCGGAACTTGTGTGACTTTTTCCTTCCCCAGATTAGGGAAGATTTTTGTCGTTGTTACTTCAAACAGGTTCTCTCCCCTTGGTCACTTTCTTCTCCCTGTCAAACCCCTATGATGCTGAGATATTGTTATGTTTCATGTTGTCCCAAAGTTCCCTTAAACTATCTTCATGCTTTTTAATTATTATTTGTGCTGCTCTGATTGATTTTTTTCTTGCTTTGTCTTCTAATTCCAGATGTTTTGTGGGCTTCTCTTCCCAGCACTGATGCTCCAGTCTTGGGAGTCTAGTGTAGGCCTAGGACTCCTGGCTTCTTGGGGAGACCTCTGTAGCTGAGATATCCCTCTGATTCTCAACCCCCACACAGGGTGTGGGATCAGCCTGTTCTGCATCTCTGCCCCTCCTTCCAGTCGCAACATGGCTTCTTTATAGCCTTAGTTATAATTCTGTTCAGTTAGTCTTCAGGTTGATTGTTCTGCAGTTCAGTTGTAATTTTCATATGGTCATGGGAGAAATGAGCAGAGTTTACCTACTCCATCTTGATAGGAAGTGAATCTGAATTATTTAGTTAACTGGCCAGACAGTTCCTAGTAAACCAAGATGATTGTGTGTGTTTTAACGGCTCCTTGTTATTCCTCTCGATTATTGTCGGCAGGTCCTTCGGTGTGGTCCTCTGGGAAATCACCAGCTTGGCGGAACAGCCTTACCAAGGCCTCTCCAATGAGCAGGTGTTGAAATTTGTCATGGATGGAGGGTATCTGGATATCCCTGAAAACTGTCCAGAGAAACTGTAAGTCTAGAAATGGGTGTGCATTTAAAAGGCATTGCATTTTGCACACATGTTTGTTTTGTATGTCATGTCTACATGAATGTTTGTGTTTGTGTATCTTATTCTACATGCATTCTTATGTTTGTATATCATGTCTGCCTGTGTGCTTGTTTTTGCATATCATGTTTACATGGATGAGTGCTGGTGTTTGTAATAACGTGTATACATCCATGCTTGTGTTTGCACATCATATATGTAATGTGTGTTGTGTTTTGCATCTCATGTGTTCACATGCCTGCTTGTGATGATATATTGTATGTCTATATGAATGCTTGTGAAGAAGTGTTATGTGTGAGCTGCATATTTTATTTTTGTATGATTCTTGTGTTTACATATCATATCTTTGGAAGAGAACTGGGGAGCTGGGGGGAGACTTATGTTTAACTCTCTATTCTTTACACACTTAAAACTCTGTCATGTATGTAATACAATGTCATACTCAACTATATCCCAATAATACTTGAAAAAATAAGTCAGTAAGCATAAGCATTAAGAAATATTTTGTTTTAAATGTTTATTATGAGACCAAATGTTCAACACATACCATTAAACACTTGGAAACCTATTCAGCCCCACTAATAGGCCAACGAGTATAAAATAAAATAAAGGAAATACTTTTTTCCTTAATTTGCAAATAAAGAAAGGAAGGACGGAATGGAGAGAGAGGAAGGAAAGCCGGGTGAATCTTAATACTCAGGATTAGCAATGGCATGGCTAGGTAACCATTCTTACTGCCCCACTGTAAGAGCTACTCGGAGCAATTTAAAGTTTCAAAAAATTGAAATGATCTAAAAATTCAACAAAATGAAAATTGCCAAGTAAATTGTACATTAATATGATGTCACAGCAGTTGAAATTTCAAATTATGCTTATAACATATTTTAAAGCTAGGTTGGAGTAGCTCAGTTGGTTGATGGTCGACCTAAACCAGGAGGTCATGGTTTGATTCCCAGTCAGGGCACATGCCTGGGTTGTGGGCTCCATCCCCAGTGGGGGGCATGCAGGAGGCAGCCGATCCATGATTCTCTCTCATCATTGATGTTTCTATCTCTCTCTCCCTCTCCCGTTCTCTCTGAAATCAATAAGATATATTAAAAAAAAAAAAAAAGTTTTATAACTCAGTGGATAAACCTATTAATACATTAAGTGAAAAAAGTGTGTGTATATTACATTTCCAAATATGTCCAGGTAGGAAAGACAAGAACTTATATCTGAAGGAGAATTGTGTGTGAGCTGCATTTTCCCTATATTTCGGGGTGTTTTTTAACTTTCTAGAATGAGCATTTATTACATATAAAGTTTGTTATTGTTTCTTAAGAAAAAAACTTGACCTGAAAATTTATGGGGAGAGGCCATTTCTTTGCTTCATCCCAATAGAAAAAGACATCAACTTAAAAAATCTAGTTTGAAGAGACCTCGTATGGGGAAAAGTATGATGCAGAGTCCTTTAGTCTCTGAGCAAAGTGTTTTGAAACATTGCCTCATGAAGATCACTTGCTGGTCAGGCCAGCTGTGGTTCCGGGACCAGGGAGATTCAGGAGGCCACGGCAGGCGCTGCACACTTTTTTGTAAGCGTCTTCGCTCTGTGTTCCGAGCTGCTCTCGGTTGTAACTCCTCAACGCTGCCCCTGTAACGGGAAGGCAGCCATAGTTATGTGGTTGTGTGCTAAGAAAAGTTTATTCCCAAAAACACTCGGGGAGCCAGGTTTGGTTCAGGGGTCAAAGTTTGCCAGCCCTGCCCGAGAAGTGCGGAAAGGGAGAGGAAAATGGAAATCCTCGGCCCTCCGTCCCTGTCCTGTTCACTGTTGGCTGAGTAGTTGTGATGCTTTCTGGCCATCCTCGAAAGTGTGCCATCTGGGCCTGCAGGACGGCCCTCCAGCTTCGCTCCACCGAGCGGCAGCTGCCAGGTGTGAGGATACATCACAGGAGGAACTGTGGTCTTCGACATGTGGCAACATCAGGAGAGGCCCTTCTTTTATTTTTTTTTAAAAAAATGTATTTTTTACTGATTTCAGAGAGATAGGGAGGAGAGAGAATCATTCATCGGCTGCCTCCTACACGCCCTCTCCCCACACACACACACTGGGGATCAAGCCCAAAACCTAGGCATGTGCCCTGAGTGGGAATCAAACCTTGACCTCCTGGCTCTTAGGTTGAGGCTCAACCTCTGAGCCATGCTGGCCATGCTGGAGAGGCCCTTCTTGAAATGGTTCCGGAATAAGGCAGCCTCTTGGGCCCTCTTTTTAAAACCCCGTTTCAGCACCAATAGAATTGCTTGCTTCCGCCTGATGGTTACCTGCACACGTAGCCACTGTCTGCAGTGAACAGGCTGTCTGTGGGCGTGAGCCACGGGGGGTGGCGGGGCTGCTTGGCTGGACCCCTGGACTCACCCCACACGTGTCTCTGTCCCACAGCAGCGAGTTGATGAGCATGTGCTGGCATTTCAATCCCAAGATGAGACCGACCTTCCTGGAGGTCGTTGACCAGCTGAAGGACAACCTGCACCCCAGCTTTCCGGAAGTCTCCTTCTTCTACAGCGATGAGAACAAGGCCCCCGAGCACGAGGAGCTGGAGATGGAGTTTGAGGACATGGAGAGCGTGCCCCTGGACCGGTCCGCGCACTGCCAGCGGGAGGAGGACGGGGGGTGCCCGCTGGCCCGGAAGCGGAGTTACGAGGAGCCGCTGTCCTACGCCCACATGAACGGGGGCAAGAAAAACGGGCGCGTCCTGACTCTGCCTCGGTCCAGCCCTTCCTAACGGCACCCGCCCGGGAGGGGGTCCCGACTTCACTCTCCTCTAGCTTGACGGTCTCCAGAAAACTCAGGATTTTCCCACAACTCTGCCAGTGTCCAGTGGAGCTGAGATCATTGCTCTCCATTCCTGTTTATGGTACAACCTAAAACACGCCTGTTTGGTCGCCAGCCTGACCAGTGATCGGAGAAGGTGGCCGTGAACGAAGAGAGAAGGGGTCCTTCCAGCCGCGGCGGGCTCAGGCAGGGGGCTCCTCCTTTTCCCGGTCACCAAAAGAAAGCGCCTGTTTCTACAAAGGCTTTCTTTTCTTTTTATTTTTCTCTTTTCTTTTTTTTCGTGGACAGGGGCTGGTGTATGAGCTACAGTATAAAACATAAAACTTGTTTGTGGAACAAAGGTTTGAAAGAAAGACAGAAACATCCAAACCCTGTGCGAGTAGAATTTGAAGCTTTATGGAGTGGATTTTAGGAAGGTTTTTCTCTTCCAGGCTGAACTTTTTTTTTTCCCCTTCACAAAAGTAGTTCCTCAGATTGACCAATAGCTGCTGCTTTTGTACTTTTGATAAGATTCTGCAGTCCCAGGTGTGTGTGCATGTGTGTTCAGAGTAGACACGGCTGGTGTGTGTGTGTGCGCGTGTGCGCGTGCAAAGCACTCATGCTGAGATGAAGTTTGGGGATTGGCTCATGAAGGTTCCACTTTTCCGTGTGTGTGTGGGCATCGTGGTCCCCTCCTTCCTCCTTCCTCACTGGGAGACTGTGCCCTCGTGTGCCCTCATCTCACTCGGGAGTCTTCTCTCCCTGAGCTTTGGGGAAAATGTTTCTCCAGGAGCAGCGGAGTGGTTTAGGGTGAAAACGGATCTTTTCAAACCAAGCCAGGACATGACAAAACAAAGGAAAAGGAAAAAAAAAAAAAAAAAAAAACTCCCGAGATGATAAAGAGTTTTGAGAATATATTTGTAATATTTAATTTTTTATCAATCTCCAATCAGCCTCATAAGTTATTGACTGTTTCCTTGGTTGGGAGGCGGGGGGGTCGTCTGCCTGGGGCTGGGGACCGGAGCGCCAGGCACCTCCTTGCTGGGTCTTCGAGGCACAGCCACACTCGCTGCTAGCCCTTCGGGGTGTTGTCAGGCCAGGCCGAGGGGGTGGGCAGATGGGTTTGCTGAATGGTTTGCCTTCTGCTCGGGGAAGCCGGAAGCCACCTGGCGCTGAGCCCTGCCTTCGAACACACTGGTGGCTCGTGGGCCTCCTGCTTCCCGTGCCCCTCCCGTCCTCCCTCCCTGGGTGTGCGCGTCCTCCAGCTTCCGCAGACACGACAGGTCAGGTCCCAGCGCGTGAGGCACAGCGGGGTTAGAGAACACTAAGTACGAAGCCAGAGGCCCCTGGCGGCCCGTTCCCCCCCTCAGGGCATCCAGCTGTCCTCAGAACCCACCGCCCTGACGCTGCTCCGGGCTGTGGCCTCGGTGGGCCGGGCCAGGGTGGGGCCTGAGCAGAACCCCGAGGTGCCTTCGGTGTTGCAGAAAGCAGAGCCGCGGGGAGGAACCGCTAAGGACCCTCACGCTCCCCAGAGCCGCAGCCCGGGAGAGGCCAGCTCCTGCCTCCGGGGAGAAGAGCCACAGCTGCTCCAGCAAGCGCGGTGACCCCGGCCCTGGGCCCCACGGGCTCAGCGCCCCGCTCCCCTGCGAGCATTTCCTCACCAGGCCCGGGGGCTGCCCCTCCTCTGGAAGGTGAGCTCAGCGACAGAGAGAGGTGCAGCGGCCACGCTGAGCTTCTCTCCTGGTCACAGCACAGGCGGCTCCCCACGGCCCTCTGCTCTCGTCCGTCCGGCTCGCGGAATTAGAGCAGGCGAAGTCTTTCTGGGAGCCTCCGTGATCGGTACAGGAGCAGGAGTGCAGGAATTCTTGTCACCAGACTCACGCTGTGCATCGAAGAGGGCCTGGACGTGCGTTTATTAAACAAACACGTAGGCCTAGGTACTTAGTTCTTTTGTAGTGAACTAATAGTGGCTGTAGGCGATACTTGCAGCTATTTTCACATTTTTCTAATCCAGAAAGGTTTTCTTACATTAAGGGGGAAATAATTTATTTTAATATATAAAATCACTGTAAAAAAAAAAAAATTCACTTTCCTTAAAAAAAAATTAAAAAAAAAAAATGGAGGGCACATAAATTTTTATCAAAGAAAAATAAACAGGTGAATGTGGGGCAATGATTCTTTTCCAGCACAGTCTACCTCAGCATTGTTGGGATGAGGTTCAAGAATGGACATTTTCGAGACTTCAGATTTCTGCCGGGATCCAATCCGAATCAGGGAAAATCTGTATCGGCTGATTCCAGATGCCAGGGACCAGTCAGAAATTTGAGGGAGGGGCTTGGGACAAAGTGTGGCCTTTTGTGAGCACAGATCCTTCTTTCTAACAGGTAACCATCTTCTCTGATGTTAGTTTTCCTTTTTGTTTTGTTTTCTTAATCTCAATGGACACCATGCTTCCCAAACAGGAACCAAGTGTGAGGTGGTGGTTACGTATCTGGTGTGCGGGGTGCCCAGGCCTGAGCTGCCCGCCTGTGGGGGGAGCGGGTGCCCCTCTCCCCCAGGGGAGAGCAGGCTTTGTTGCCCAGCGGGCATCTCCCGGAAGTGAGCACCAACGTGCTCCAGGGCCTGTCCCCACCCCGTTCGGGCTGAGATGCTACTTGAGGGTGGACCCGGTCACACTCATGGGCACCGCACATGGGAACCTGCGATGCACTGCCTCCTGGGCGGCACTGGAGAAACCTCAACCCCAAAGCCACCAGCACACGGGATACGTTTTTAGCAGCAAAGCCTTGTGCCCCCTGTTGTAGTTTGATTTCAAACGATGCTGTTGGACCGGTGGGGCTTTGGGAACCGTGTGGCCGTCCGGACGGGGCCAGAGGACTGCCCGCACAGTCACCCAGCCTCGCTGCCCTGTCACGCCCCTGGGGCTCGCTGTCCCGCTGCCCGGAGAGGCGGGCAGAGCGCGGGGCAGCGATGCCCTGGGCTGTGGCGGGCGGTCTCTGTCTCTGCTGCTGCGGTGAGCTGTGTGCGCAGCTGTGGGGTCCCCGCACCGGTTACCCCCGACAGCAGACCTTCTCCTCGGTCCTGGGAGGAGGGCACGTGGTCCCGAGGGCTGTCGGACGGCTGACACTGTGTGTTTGGTTTAAAGACGCCTCCCTATTCGGAAAACGTGTCGGTCACGTGGAGAGAGCCACGTCGTTTCTTTGGAAAGAGAACGCCTATTGCTCCTCCCTGGCCCGGTGAGGCCAGCCCGCCGGGGGAGGCCCGGGGGCTCCGTTCTGTCCGCCGGTAGCCAGGGGGAAGGCTGCTGCTCCCCCTCTCCGGAGGGGCCGTGGCTGCTGAGAGGAAACTCGGAAACAGGGCCTGGGCCCGCCACCCCGGCCACACAGCCGCCGCCGGCGCGGACCGTCCACCTGGGACCTGCCCGCCCGGCGGAGGGTGTGGGCGCGCAGCCGGTCACACTGGCCAGCGGCACGGCCCCTGGACGTGGACGGGCTGCGGTCTCTGCGACAATCATTTTGCTTTGGTGGACGTTTGGTGTTCAAACCTTCTGGATGCTTTTTTAAGCGAGTCCTCGACGCCCCAGGCTCCTCAGAGGTGATGGTGGTGCTGGAGGCGGGAGAGGAGAGCCTGGTTGTATATAAGGTGCATGCAGAAGGGTGTCCTTCGAGCAAACCCTCCGGGACGTTTCCCAGAATACTCGCTGGAGTGGAAAGGGGGTTGGCATGTGTGCGCGTCAAACACGTAAAAGCAGCTGCAGGGGTGGCAGCGGGAGGCAAGTGCTGCCTTCCGGTCGCCCCACAAGGGACAGCGATGGCCGTGTCCTCTCGGTCACCTGACTCCGGAGCCGGCCCAGCCAGACTTCCGTGTGGGCAAGCGCCCTGTCCGTCCTGTCAAAACAGATGGTGGGTCCGAGGCTCTCCGTCCGTCGAGGAGGAAGGAGGAGCCCCAAGAGGAGTGTGTGGCAGTGGCTCTTGTGTTCCCACTTCGTGTGTCTGGGGAGGTTGGCCTCGGCCGTCCGCCAGCACCAGACGCCTCGGTCCACCCTCGGCCTCACCGGATCAGTGTGCCTCGGCTTACGTGGAAAAAGGCTCGGAAACACAAAACACACCAAATAGCTCAACTGTTGTTATTTTCAATGTTTTCTATAAGAGCCAAGTAACGCCATGTATAGACTATGCCTTTGGGGGTGGGGGTGGGGGGGTGAGATCGCTCTGCATGTAAGACGTGGGGTAATTACCTGTTTATATGAAAATTCTGAATAAATTATCTGGAAACAGCCCTCTGGGTTTGTGTGGTGTCCACGCAGGGACCTCTGAGCGGTGTGGTGCTGTGGCTGTGGGGTGGGCCGTGTTAGGGGAAGCCGTGGGGCAGAGCCCCGGGGTCTTCAAAGCGAGGAAGCAGGAGGTGAAGTGTTGTCGCCCGCAGGCCTGACGAGGCACTGGTTCCCGCAGCTGGATTGGTGGCTTAAGTCATGAGCTCTTCCCATAGCTGCTTCCGCACTGACCCTGGGCCTGCCACGATGGCAGCACTAAGGGATTCCTTCTAGGGGGATGCCAGGGGGCCCCAGGATCTTGCTCCATTTCAACATGCTAGACACTTACATGCTGAATAGTTTAAATGTCACTCCGGGAACATGGCCTGTCCCCAGGGCGGGTGGCCAGGGTGGCACTGCAGGTTCACAGCCTTTCCTGAGCCGAACGCAGAGTGCTGTGGGCCAGGGGACCGACTCCCTGCCTTCACCAACCTGGTGAGTCTGAACAAGCCACGTTACGTCAGTCCCGGAACTTAGTGGCTTAAAACACCACATTTATTTCTCAGTTCTGCGTGCTAGCGAGGCAGCCCTCAGCACAGACTCACTGCTGTGTCCGAGGCCTCTCCTGGGGCAGTGGGATGGCTCAGATTCCAGGAAGCTAGCAGGGGGTTGTCCACAAGGCCGGGGGTTGCAGTGTATCCCTGGAGGAGAGCAAGCCC